AGGCGGATACGTCACCAGGCACTAATTGAATTTACAGTGGGCGAGGACTTCATTGAAAGTGTTTTCATGATCTGTTCTCAATTCACTAACAAAGCGATTATAGGCTGTCAATTTCTGAAAAAAAATATGGCATCAGGATCAATTTCGACTCTGGGACATTCAGTTATGTCTGGGAGAGCGTAATGAGAGAACAGACTTTTTCAGCTAATGCCAAGTGTCCGGTGGTAAGACGTAATGAGCAAAGTGTGACAGGGGAATCTCTCTACTCAAACCACTCTTCCTCAGGTCAGCGACCTACAAACCCATCAGCTGATCCTGAAAGGACTCGCCCCCTAGGAGCAGTTCACAGCTGTTCTGAATTCCCATCCCACCAAACAATTTTGACTGGCAGTGAGTCACAAGAAGGCACTCAATTCAATTGCAGTGAGACCGAGAGGTCAGATGAAGCATACAGGGACTGTGCTTCCCTTACTGGTGTCGCAGGAAACGACCATTTCATTAATGAAATTACGCGTGTCAAGGTAGATACTGTGGAGAACAGAAATGACCAGGGCCGAGGCTCTGTCAGTAGAGTTGCCGACTCCAAGCACGGGTTAGAGATTAAGCCAGTAAAAACAATCCTGCCACATGGTCAGCCCATCCATAAATCTAGATCACATTCCCCCGATCCCAAGTCGTTACGGAAGACCGACGTGTCCAGCTAGGTTGAACAAGTGACAAGCCTTTCAGCCCTAGAGCGAAGTAGACTATGTGAAGTCTTGATCAAGTACCTGAGCCATATGATGACTAAGCCTGGGAGGTGTAGTTTGTTGCAGTATAAGTTCCAAGTAAACATACAGACAGGCCCATTATAGGGTACTCTAGACCGATACCTTTCACAGTCCGGGAGCAAATTAGCCAGATGCTAGAGGATGACATTCTAGAGACTAGCACTTCACCTATTTTGAACCCTCTGATAGCAGTTGGCAAGGAAGGAGGCAAAATTCGAATATGCATGGATGCCCATAAGGAGGAACCAATTTACAGTCCCCAATCATGAGAGCGCCACCAATGCAAGAACTATTACAGAGATTTGTGGGAGCCCAGTACTTTACTTCCCTAGAACTCAGTTCTGCTTACCTACAAATTGAACTTCATAAGGACTCCAGGAAATACACAGCCTTCCTATTTGATTTGACTGTGTACCAGTTTAAAAGGGTACCGTATAGATTTAGAAATTCCCTACCAATGTTTATAGGTGCTATTAAATTAGCTCTGGGTGGAGACCACCTTGAAAATGTTGTTTTACACCGATGACATTCTGATTCACTCCAAAACGTCTGAAGACCATCTAAGGCATCTTGATATCGTACTCGGTAAATTTACTAAGGCAGGCTTCACTATTAATGCTACTAACTGTTGTGTTAAATTCTTGGGCCATTGTATCGATCAAACAGGAGAGTCAGCTGACCCTGATCGGATACAAGCCATTCTTAATTACCCAGCACCAAGGAACAGTAATCATTTCTGAAGCGGTGTAATATGACATCTAGCCGAGTCACACGTGGGGTAATGCAACTTCAGGAGTATGATTTGGAAAATTGTCCATATTAAAGGCATAAAGAACATCTCTGCAGATCTGCTGAGCCGCAACCCCATTGGGTTAAGCCGAGAAAGCCGCGACCTAGTAATGAAGCCTAGAGAGTTGTTTGTGGCGAATGTAGATTTGGGTATCGATGGGACTCCTATGAAAGAGTTAGGTAATCTGCCATGGCAGTGTAGCAGCTACGTAAGAATACACACCTGATGATGGCCATTTAGGGCCGAAACATGTAGTGTGGAGGAAGGAAAGAAGAAAGAACTACAATTAAATTGTTGCACTTAAGACGGAGTTTGTCTCATATATATTGTGCGAGTGTAACAGGATGCTTAAATATAATATTGGAATAAATCAGTTCACATGAATAATCTTTAAAAATTGAACATTTTCATGATTTTAATAAGTTATTTTTAACAAGATAACTGAAATAGTTGTGTATTTAGATGACTAAACATACATTGTAAATTTATGATGAAAGTATTCAATGCAGGGTCCTCAGGTAACACTGACCACCTCTGAATATGTGAAAGTAACTCCTTTTACTCTATTGATGAATTTACTGAACATACAAAAAAACTCATTTGTTAAAAGTGAATAAATAGTCTGTGTGCTTATATTATACATCGTGAGACTTTGCTTGTTATAAGTGTGGTAGTAAGTATAATAATAAACAATGACCAGTATCGTGCTATTTTCTGGGACATGAATGGCATCATGACACACTTCCTGCAGAAGAACTCTATTTTAAACAATTACAATATATTTAAAGTTTCATGATGCAGGATTTAATGATAGTCGTTAAGTGGAAATTTATGTAGACTGTTGTCTAGGGTGCCTGCTTGCAGAATGATGAATATTTACATATTTCAGTAATTCCTAGATGTATTCCCAAGCTCACATTACTCACAAGACTGCATACTGAGGGAATATTATACCTCTGAATTCTTTGAAAGTGGCCCTCAAGTGGAATCCAGATTCTTAAAGACAAGTATGTGTAGTATAACATTGGCTATGCACCCAACCATGGCACAGGAAAGCACTGGAAGATGTGAACCGTGCTACGGTTCTTCTTCGTCAAGTTCCTTGGAGTCCCCCCCCCCAAGCGCCAGGATGCGAGCGTTTCCCTTCTTTCCGGCTAATGTCCTTGGCTGACGTCAGGTCAGCTGACCTTGTATCCCCCCCCCCTGGACTTAGACAGAGGTTTCATCGGTAGTACAAGTGAATGTATCTTTCTCTCTTCCCGTTGACCTCAGAAAGGAAACATCGCTGCGTCTAAATTTGGTTTCGTAAAGTTGAATTGATTTTGCTGGAAATTCGGTTTCGGCCCGCAGCAGTGGTTGAAGGGGGAAGAGTGCCCTCACGACATGGTCAAGGGTGGATCAAGTCCTGAAGTAAATTTTTGAGTTTGTAAATTCAGCAATACAAGTAAGTGACTTACTGAAGTAATTATTTTCTTTCGATTATGAACGCCGTTTGGCGTAGGATAATTTGGTTTAGTCTAAGGTTGTGCTAAACAGCAGATCGCCCCTCAGGCGTGTATGTAAGCTGTTTATATTTCCTTGTGCCCTCAAGGCTTGCCTAAGTACATGCTTGTACTGGAGAAGTAGAGAGACGCCATGAGGCGTGCCTGACTTGAGTTCTGTGCGGCTAGGCACAGCGTAGTTCTGTATCACTCATTTATCACATGTTCTGACCGGTTACTGCCCTTCAGGCGGGCCCATCTGTATACATATGTTATTAATATATATTTATGTATATGTTTAAGAACGCCAGTGGTGTTTATGTATACTTGTGCTGTACGTTCCATACCAGTTTCTGACTAGCGGATCCGTCCAGCCTGGCCCTTTGTGCCGACAGTGGTTTTCCTCCCCCGAGATCCCTTACTCGACCTTAGGGAGGCATAGTGCATCACGCTACAAGCAAGTCGTTTCTTATGAGCCTGTCCCTTACCCATATTGAGCAGGGGTTCACGGGTCTAAGTGGGTAGAAGAACTGGGTTCTTTACCCACAGGGTCAAGGGACACGGCTCAGATGTATACTAAGAGAAATGGCTTGATAAGATATGAATTATGTCATAAGCAGAAAAGAATCCACCACTTAATCTGCTAACTTTTACTTTGAGATTCCACATATACTTTCACTTACCATACAGTAGTCCAACAATCCTACCACAGAGATTCATTCATCAAATGAAAACACAAGACCTACATAATCCAAATCCCATCTAATTTTAAAATGAAGATATCAGATGTAAAATTCCTACATGCTTTGAGGCATGGATGTAGAATCTGTGCTGAACATTACTTTTCCAGTATGATACCAATACATTCTACAAATAACAATATTAGCAGAAATGCAACATTCAAGACTTCCGTTCTGCTCTTCCAAAAAGTGCATGTCCAATAAAGAACACTGCTGCAAGACTAATAGGTCAATGAGATTCGGCACTTTTATGTCAAGCCCAGATTTCATATAAGTCAGTAACAGATTCAATCTTGCTTGCAGTCTGGGGGAGAGGATGTTCTTTGATTTATTTAAAAAACAGAGGGGGAGGGAGACCTACATAGTACCTACTTGCGCAATAAAGGAAAAATGAGTAAGAGGATCAGAAAAAACTCACTACCATATTAAATCCTGTTTGCAGTGTGGGAAGAGGGAACTATATAGTGCCTACTTATATAATAAAGGAAAAATGCAAAGAGGTAGGCAAAAAGAACACTCTTATGGTGCAAAATGTATAAAAAAACACCCACCAATGCATTTTTTTTCATTGGTTGCATCCTGTTGTGTCTCTCAGACAATATATAATATAATAATAATTGAAATATTTGTTGTGTAGATGGTAGCATAGTTCCTACATATTATATATCATCAATGTACTTTGTTTTATACAAGAAAAGTGTGGGAAAATGAACGAACCTGGGCTTGACTAAGAACATCAGCCCTGATAAGATGCTGTCATGAGCGTGAAAGCGATAATTATACAGCACTTCATTAGCTCTGACCACATGTCATTCAGTACAACAAAACTATGTGCCCATTTGCACTCTAAACTGAACGCAAATATTGAAAATATCAAGCATATAGTTCTGAATGCTATGTTTTTAGTTTAAAGAGAAACACATAAAATAACATTATTATTTTCATACCACACAAGATCAAAGTTCTGCAGTTATAAAAGAAAGAACCATATGCACATAATTAGTCTCTCACGTGCCCATCACTAACTATAAAATACTGAAAATCCACAGAAAGAATGTTATGGTACTGTATCGGCCTACATCCAGAACATGAAGATGTCAATTTCAGATAATATAATACAAACTATCAACGATAGAAATTTCTTGTATGGATGTAATGTGTTACAGTACATTGGGGAGGGGGGGGGAGACTGGGAACAATAATAATACAAACTCAGTACTATTTAAACTGCAGTCTCTCTACAACTTAAAGAATGGAATGTGTATAAATTACAAACAACTGTTATGTCTCTGACAGATCATGTCAATGCATGTGACATTTAGGTTTACATGCAACACTAATTATCAAATTTACTTGTCACCAATGATGAGACAGTGACTAGCATTTTCATTTATGGGGAGAACAGATATTAATGTAGACTTGAATAATCAATATTGTACAGACATTTTCTATTACAAGATAATCAGAATCAGTCAAGGCCTTATCACTGTCATTAAAGACTATGACTAAAATGGATTGGGACATATTTTAATAAAATATAACAACAAAACTGAGACACACAGACCAACAATGCATGGGTGATTCCACCTTCTCTCTCCATCATTTCCAGCCTCCATTTCCACTTACTTTTCTGGAAAAAGAATCACACCAATCACAGGATTAGACACCTGATGACCTCATTTAATCCCTGGCAGTAATCAACAAATGTACAAGAGTTTCAAATGCAGCACTCTGTTGTGGAACTGCAAATTGATACAGAATTAGGAACGTAAAAAAATGAATATAATCTGAAGCACAACATTAACAAGAACTGAAAGCAGAACGCTACAAGATAGTAAAATTATGGATACTGTTGCATTGTAAGGTAAAGGTAAATTTGTCTCTGTGCTTAATTAAGCACAATGCCAAGAAGCTGTACCTGACCTCAGCACTAGACAGAGGTGAGGGGTCAGTTTCATTCACTTTACCTGTGTGGAAATATTCGGTGGTACCTAGTGCGTAGGAAGCTGGGTGGACCCCAGGATCAATCTAGACACTGTGGAGAAGAGAAAAACATCCTTTCTCTACAATGAATACAACCCTGATCATCCAACATGCAGCCTGCCACAACACCATTGAACTACGCCACTGCATGGACACATACAAGGGTTGGATAAAAGGTAGTGGCAACACTGCTGTAACATGAAAGATGTGCTTCAGGTGGCACCAGCAATATCTGTAGCTGATAGCAGAAATTCAGTTGAAGTAGTGCAGTGAGTGGCTCTGGTCATGCTTCATTTAGTTGCATTGTGCAATGTCTTGACGTGCAGGAGCCCAGTTCAAGCGCCCTAAGAACATGTTTACAAAACAAGAACAAGGCTCCTGGATAAAAATTGAAATTGCACGAGGTCATAGTGCACAAAACTGTTATCAGGGACTGAGAAAAGCATGTGGTGATGCTGCTTTGTCATATTGCACAGTGGCACGATGGGTGAAATTGTTCCGTGAAGGNGTAGTGGCAACACTGCTGTAACATGAAAGATGTGCTTCAGGTGGCACCAGCAATATCTGTAGCTGATAGCAGAAATTCAGTTGAAGTAGTGCAGTGAGTGGCTCTGGTCATGCTTCATTTAGTTGCATTGTGCAATGTCTTGAAGTGCAGGAGCCCAGTTCAAGCGCCCTAAGAACATGTTTACAAAACAAGAACAAGGCTCCTGGATAAAAATTGAAATTGCACGAGGTCATAGTGCACAAAACTGTTATCAGGGACTGAGAAAAGCATGTGGTGATGCTGCTTTGTCATATTGCACAGTGGCACGATGGGTGAAATTGTTCCGTGAAGGGAGGGACGCCATTCAGGATGACGCCATGTTGACAGCCACACAATTCAGCTTTTTGCTTCTTTGCTGGATGTCTATCGTCGATGGGTTGCATGGGAGTTAGCTGCTGAGGTAGGCATATGTCACAAAACCGTGCTATACATGCTGCACGATATTCTTGGATACCACAAAATTGCAGTGCACTGGGTACCCCATACATTGTCTGAGGTGCAACAATGGCAACATTATGCAATTGCACAAGACTTGTTGGACCAGTACCAGAAGGAAGGCGACGACTTCCTTGGAAGGATCATCACTCTGGATGAAACTTGGGCTTGCTCATATGAACCGCACTTGAAGCGACAATCAAATGAATGGAAGCATCCTGGCTCTCCTCGTCCAAAGAAAGTGCGAGAGTAAAGAGAAAGAGTAATGTGAAGGCGATGTTCATTGTGGTATATGACACTGATGGAGTGATACTGCACCACACTGTACCTTAACGACAGACAGTAAACGCTGCCTACTACTGCAATTTCCTGCGTAATCTTCTTCATCCAACACTCAGGAGAAAGCGATGACACTTGTTGGCAATGAACCCCATCATCCTTCATGACAATGAAAGGGCTCATACTGCTGACGCTGTCAAGGATCTCCTTCGCCGCTGGCGATGGGAGATACTGCAACATCCGCCACACTCACCAGATATGAGTCCGTGCGATTATGATATCTTTGCCGAAATGAAAGAACCACTGCAAGGGTTATGTTACAACAGAAGTGGATGCGCTGATGGTGTACGATGCCTTCCACAAATTTGGCAGAAGGTGGTACACATGGGGGGCGATTATATTGAAGGAATGTAAGTGTGTTTACCTCAGGTAATAAAGTCATTTCAGAACGATAGAGGTGTTGCAACTACTTTTTATCCAACCTATGTATTACGTATGAAATACAACCGAGTCCTCTTGAGATCATGGGGGAGGGGGAACAAACCCCTTAATTGGGAGAGAAGAGCTAAATTTAGAGCCCTAGTGAGAAAACAGACATAAATGAAAGATGAGAAGACTGGATGGAACCTCTTCATGCATTTCTTGCTAAGAACTCATAAAAGTAATTTTGCTTTAAGAACTACACAGGTTACAGAGAAAGGAGCTAGGATGGCTCAGTCACTATTGTGACTAGGCTATAGGCTGGATGACCAATGACTGATTCTACCAGGCACAATACATCCAGATCACATCTGTGGCCCATAAAACCTCCTATTAAATATGTGCTACAAATTTTTCTAAAGGTCTAGAGGGGACAATTCACTACCCACTACCTCTCAGGTTAAAGAATGCATGGACCTATACCTTCACTTCCACATCTGTCTTCATAGTGCAGCTTTTAAATATGTAGAGACTTTGCCTTTGCTTCATAGGTTACAAAATAACTGCTGCAAGGGTAATGATGAATTGGTATGGAAGCAACTGTGGGTTGTAGATTCTGCATGAAAAGATTGCCAAAAACCATAAAACCATGAAAGTTGGTCTCTGGAATGAGATCAAGAACTCATACCTCCTGGGTACGAAGATGGACCGCTAACAACCATACACAGGATTCTGTCCTTGACATACAGTTCAAGCTACTTTAAAATTATACCAAACATGTCACATACGAACATTTGAGGTGGGAGATAAAACAGGGCAAATAAGATGAAAAAGTGATGCAGCATTTCATCAATGTCTGACTCACCTGATGGAAGCAGGTTTTCCTTGATTAGTACTTCTGTAATATGGGGAAACTCTATGACGTAGTTTCCTGGTTCAAGGCATGATACAACATGTGCCTTGTATATTTTGTTCACTTGAATCAACTCATCTACACGCTTCTTCAGTGTCTCAGATGAGTTTTTATCAATTCCTGAGAACAATACCACTTCATTCTATAAACATATTCAATATATATCAGAGAAGTGTAAATTTTCTCAAATTTTAATCTCTCTTTATATACATACTACTGTTATTTTAAAATCTACTCGGCCCATTGGTGATTTATAATCTCAACATGCAACTAGCAATAAATTCACATTTTGGGGACAAGTTGTTTAATGGCACACTCTTCTCTGAAAAGCTTATGTTTAAAAAATTCTACCACTGGGCCCCACCTTCTAATAATTTCAATCCAGTGTAAACCTTCACACTCTACTGCCATAAATTCCCATATACTAGAAGAACACGAATCTGCTCAGTGGAGAAGAGATAAATGAGATAAAGAAACAAATACATTCTGGAAAATATGCTTTTTTCATTGTTAGTCCCACTACTGGAGCCATAAAGAACAACAAAAAGGAAAGTAATAAAAATTATGCCAACAATTTACCTTTCATTGAACATAAGAGAGCAACAGCTGGAGTTTCAACAAATTCTGGTACCATCTTACGAATACGTGTCTTGTCAATATAAGCCATGTTGCCAAAATCTAAGAATATTATATTGTTTTCTTTTGAAGAATGTTCTTCAAGGCACATGGCACGGTACCATACTCCATCTGCAACACACAATTCATTTACATAACTATGCTACAAGTCGGGAGGTCGCGGGTTCAAATCCTGATGAGGTCATTGGATTTTTTCAATTGATCTAATCCTTCTGGCCGCAATATGGCCCTGGGGTTCACTCAGCCTGTCACATAAATGAGTACCAGGAATTAAATAATTTTTCTGGGGAGTAAAGCACAGCTGGCGCGTAAGGCTGACAACCTTACCGCCGTCTTTGAGCCGATCGTCTATATAATGTGGGACCCTCAACGTCTCACAACCCTATGGGCCTTCATGGCCTGTTACAAGGATAGCTTTACTATACTTACTTTACTTAAGAACATGTGCAGAACTGAATCACACAAACACCATGACACCAATATTTATTTGATATTACTGAGAAGTCAATAAACTATCAGCAAAACAATCTCATTTGATATAATTAAACATTTCCACAGCAATAAAAATAATCTTAAAATGTCCAGTTATTATGACTGATTATTACACAAACAGATTCTCAGAAGTCTGGTTGTTATAAAATACAAACAGCATCATGACTACTTTAGAAATGATGACAATGCATTCATAAAGTGGAAAACCCATTTCATGTTCCTCGCTTTAAGGTTTTCCTTCATTTAAGACACAAATTCAATGATCCAAGGTCAATTATCTGTGTCAAAATACTTAAACTTAAGATTTTTCCCCCAGCTTAGCATTCAGACCCACTGCTCCCCCCTCCCAAATAAAGTGCAAATTCAGCAAGAACATACATTTGAGAAAACGCAATAAGTAAAAAGTAAAAGTAAAACTATCCCTGTAACAGGTCATGCAGGCCCATAGGGTTGTGAAACGTTATCAGTCAAAATTTAACACTGTCCTTACTGGTGTCTAGGCAGAACCACTGAAAAAGTGCACATAATCAGGTAAAATGTAGAATTGGAGAATCTGAAACTGACGTTTCACTGTGACCACTATTAACGCTGCATTACACCCTGAAAATCAATTTGTACTTACTTGTTCTGTGCTCCCAGTCGCTCAAAAGTGAGAAAAATGTGATTGAGACTCTGAAACTTTGTCCATCATCTTTCAGTATTCTGAATGAACATAAGACTTTGGAAACTGCAAGTATCCATTCTTGGAGGAAGTACAAAATTAGGCCTATCTGAAATTTCATTTTTCTCCTGGCACCAATGTTTCTGGGTTTAGTTTGTGGGATTAAATTTAAGCTTCCTTCTATCTTAGTTTTGGATCTTCATATACAGCTTCACAATTTTTATTGTAAATTTTATTATATTCCATTAAGAAAAATTGATCCCAGGTCCTTATAGAGATACAGATGAATGATTCGGCTAACGTGCGACTGAAATTGACAGACCCAACTATGGTATGTCTGCTGAAATCCAGAATTGTGAAGCCAGCGGAGACAGCGGTTGCTATGCAGTGGCTCAGTAGTGACCATGTGCTCCCCACAACAGATAGAAATGCAACAACAGAAGATGGCGTTTTCTATGCAGTCCATGCTGAGGGTAAATATAGCAAGAACCAGCTGCCATTAGTCAGTCAGTTGAGGGTTGCAGAAGCTGGAGACATTTTGGGAACTCACGAGGAAAGGGAATGTCTGCCATTGGAAGCTGCCACCAAGCAATGCAGTGAAGGCTGTGACTGAGACTAGTCTGTGTGTGATAGTGATTTGTACAGTGTAGTCACAAGTTGCCAGTTGTGTGTCCAATGAATCAAATTATTAATTCAATACCCATCTACAGTTACTTGCCATGACAGTATAAAAAATAAAATATACAGAAACAATTGATAAAAGATGAAGAATTGTGGCAGTACAGACATGTAGGGAGAATGCTGATGGTAAAAATACTAATTCAATGGACAATAACTTGAAAACATGGAATGGGGACAACAAGAACACAGTAATTGTTAGAGTTGGCATTTTTATGTAAATACATATTTTATTTCTTACCATGTAGAAGCCCAAAAAGTAATAATCTCCAAGAACTGCAGCATTAGCATTGTTACAGCTGAATTTCATTCTACATATTCTGTGATATTTTTCTTTGCTTGCATTTTGAAGTGGAAAGTGTCTACAGTTTTTTATGTGTATTCTGGTTAAATACCTTACTAATGGTATCCACCCTTCCAAAAGACTCTTTCTACAATGATAGAGAAATCTGGAAGGTAATATCTCTTTTGAAAATCACAGTAAACTACAATCTCCAGGTAATTTCGTTCATTAGTGTGACCTGGGGGTTTGGGATTTTTGTAAGAATCTGAGTAGTGTTGTTTTGCCTTTATATGGGTTGCTGTGGACGAAACAATGGATTCCATGGGTTGCTTTATCATGAGCCTTGTGGCTGGCAAGTCAGACACTGAAGTTCCTTCTAATCCACATTTGATTTGCTCCAAAGTTCTGCACCATATGGATCATTCCACTGTTGCAAGGTTTGCGAATGAATGTTGTGGACTGCTGGAGTTCATGAGAAGGTGCTAATTTTGAATTAAGATGCTATGGCATATATGCTAAAAGCTGCAACTGTGATAAAAGTGTTTTACTGATTTGATTTATTTTACTTGCCTGGTTCATGGATTGCAACACGTTGGCAAGAAGGTTAGAGACAAGTTCTCCCAAGTGAATAAATTAATTTTGATGACAAAAATATGTTTCTGAAAGTCCCACATTGAGTTCAATCTTATAAGCAGCACGTGCTAGATGCACCCTTGTCCCCTGCAGTGTCAACAAGATAGTGAACACTCTGAAACTGTGAAGACATTGCTCCTGAGAAAATTCCTTTGTTAAAATAGCAACCAGTGACATCACGTTATGTAGAAAGATCCTTTTCAGCCTACAAACACATTCTATCATATAAAAGACAATCACTGACCCCAAAAAATATGGAAAAGATTCTAATTGTGTGCGTTGCATAAAAAGATCAATGACTGTGGCAAAAGACCGTAAATAAAGATTGCTTACAAAATGAACTATTATGTGTATGTGATGCTACATATTTTAATTAATCCACATATTTTACTGCATATTTCAGAGGTTTTTGTTACATAATTATGTACATATTTTGCATGTTGATACTACATAAAAATCCTAGCCCTACTAATTACATGCAATTCATAAAACAGAATGATTGACACACAGAGAATACAAGAATAGAGTGTACTTAAAACTGGGAAACCTCAAAGTAGATCACAAAGGACTACTTAAAAAGAGATTAATTAGATGTAGGTGCAAAGACACAGAGAATCGGCCCAGGCAGGATCAACACACACACACATACACAATGTACAAAGAATGGAAAATAAAATGTGGTGACACTGACATGCAGACATAAGCAAACTTCTTGCCAAGACAACTGATTCAATGGGCATCAAATGCAAAACATGGAAAGGGGAGATCAAAAGCAGTTTATTACAGGACGGAAGGAATGAAAATGAACGAAAGGGACTGAAATGACTGAATTATGGAATACAGGAATGGAGAACCTATGCGAAGGGTAAAACCCCCAGAACTTACCTTCATATCTGGCAAAACAAAGTTCAGAATATCTTGGAACATAAGATTTCTCTTTAGTGGAATTGCAGTAACTGTTAATTTCCTTAGTCATGGTGGTATGGACATACACCATAATTTCTTCATTTGCTTCACAGCCCATGAGAGTCACACTATTCATTTTATGAAGAACAAGGAAGTCTATGGTCTTGCCGATGGGCAACTCCAAGTATTTAATATCACCTTCCATGAAGATTTTCCATTCTGGAATGAAAATATGATGAAATGACAATAAATTTCTTAAAGCAAGGTGACTATCACTTCTGTACTTATTTCATGTGCAGTAAATATGTACACAGAACACATACTCTTATTTTCCAAATGCATTTTCACTCATTAGACACAAACCTAAAACTGCAAATTACACCACATGCATAATTTATTTTTTTCTTCTATTCTCATAAGCATGCAGCAGAGTGAATATGTTCCAAATATAAACTGTCCTTTTAACTAAATATTTAATTCTTTCTACAACATGTTATTCATAACAAAAATTTGAGCTGATTTGAGCTTCATGTAATGTGGGTGTTATGCTAAAAAATCAAAACAAAATTCAATGCCCAACATGTAACCCAGTCACCTTCATACAAATTACAGTGAAATCCCTATTTAATGAACATCTTGGGGAATGGCTTTTCCTGCACTACATTAAAGTTCTGACCAAATACAGGTTATGCAAAGTTATATCAGGAAAGTTCTTGATTTTATATAAGACTTACTAAACACAATGGCCGTGCCATAGCTCAAGCGGTTAGTTGCTGGCTTCCCACGGCAGTGTCCCGGGTTTGGACAAGTGGGATTTGTGGTGGACAAAGTGGCAATGGGGCTGGTTTTCTCCGAGTACTTCGGTTTCCCCTGCCAATCTTCATTCCAGCAATTGCTCCACAATTATCCTCACCTATCAGTACAAGGGACTTAGTCCCACCCTAATAGCAATAAAAAAAATACTAAACACAATAATGCTCAAACATTTGTTTGCATAAGTTGAAGTTCTGATAGAGAGGAAACTTGAATACTAATTGTCATTTTGACCACAATCACAAAGAAAAAAAAAGTTTTTTACACTAGTCTGATTATCTTCCAAATTAAAATTCAACAAACAAAGAAAAATTACATGTCAACTGTTTATACTGGGTTCAACTAGGAGCAGAAAAAAATATTCACCAAATATGGGATTTCATTGTACATGTTAATTTTATGCTGTTTGTGCAAATGATGTATTCCAGTATACAATGTATGAATGCACTGTAATGCATAAATTTTCAGTCACACAATGTACTTCAGGAGAACTGGTATTGCTATTGGGCTGTCACGTTTAAAGTCTCCATTTTAAGACCAGAGATATCCATTGTCTTCATCTCCGAGAAGAACAATTAAACTTTGTGTATATGAGGAATATCAAACTGCTATCATTGCCTGGAGCCGATAAGATGCAGGTCCCCTTTGCTGACTATGTTCTACTGTTAAGTACAGTGGGCTCACTCCTAAGGGAACACTAGTCACAATATACACGTAATTTTCAACACTGGATGAGCTAGACTTCCTGAAAAGCAGTACTGTGAAGTATAAATTACCTGTGAGACTTTTATCAGGCTTCAGCATTGTGTTTATCACATCATTTAGGCATGAACTGTCTGGAAGGATCAGCTGAACCCCATCTTTGTGTGATTCTGCCATAATCTACACAAAATATATAAAATTTATATTTATTCATTTATTTATATAAGAGGGTTGGAACTTTAATAGTGGCAACACTGCTGTAGAGACGCCATGCAATGGAATCAAATAATGTCGCTTATACCTACCTTACCTCAGAGCAAATGGACTCTCCCTCACCACATCATGCGCATGCGCAGTGACGAAAAGAACGGAGCCTCATGTTAACTGGCGGTCTAATGTAGTGTTGTCACGATGTTTTCGAAACAGGAACAACGGAGTTGGATAAAGATTGAATGTGCCAGAGGCCGTACAGCACGACAGTGTCATCAAGGTCTTCAAGAGGCTTGCAGGGAATCTGCATTGCCTTACAGAACAGTGGCAAGGTGAGTAGAAGCCTACGAGGGACGCCAAAATGTGGCAGATAGGCATCGGCCAGGTCATCCTAGTGTCAGTGAAGAAGTAGAATACTCTTTCCGTGTTACTGGAGAGTGATTGACGCCATATGATTAGTGAGCTGGCCTGAGAGACAGAATTAGCGCATACACTGTGCTTCATAATCTGAAGGAACGCCTGGGCATGAAAAAAACTGCATCACAATGGGTTCCGCATGATTTGACAGAAATGCAGAAATGGGTACGATATGACGCTGCTCGTAACCACTTGGAGCGCTATGAGCGTGAAGGAGAGGCTTTCTTATGCCGTATCATTACGGTGGATGAGACATGGGCCAAATCGTACAAACCACAAATGAAACGCCAAACGAACGAATGTCGTCATTACAGGTCACCACGAAAATCAAAAGTTTGTCAGAACCCTAGCAATGTGAAAGTTATGGTGATTCTCGTGTACAACTGTGATGGTGTTATCCTAAAGCATACCGTTCCCTGGCAGCACTGTCAATGCACAGTATTGCTGTTCATTTTTGGAACACAACCTGCGACCAGCTTTGAGAAAGAAGCGGTCACACTTTCTGCAGAACCCACCCATCATTTTGCAGGACAATGCTCGGCCGCATGCAGTGCAAGCTGTGACTGATTTCTTTGATCGATGGGGCTAGGAGGTGCTGTACCATCCACCATACTCCCTGGACTTAAGCCCTTGTGACTTCAACTTGATTCCTAAGTTGAAGGAACCACTTCGTGGCATTCGCTTCAGAACTGTTCCAGAGATTCTTCAGGCAGTAGACCACTCCATTTGAACTATCAACACAACAGGCGCTGCTAAAGGTATCCTACGACTTCCACATTGCTGGCAACGGCTTGTACACAATGCTGGTGACTACATTGAAGGACAGTAAAACTTCAAAACATGCATCTATTTTGTATCAGCTGTAAATAAACAGTTGTCATTATTAAAGTTCCAACCCTCGTATATAACTCCAATGTAAGAGAAGTTGTTTGGGTATTGTCAAGAATAAGCTATTTCAGTATCTTTGTAACAGTCCTGGAAATAAAGAATAATTCTCGACTATTTATAAATATAATCTCATACACTCTGTGCACTGAAAACTATAGTTTAAAGCTTACAATCTTTGAATATGACCACAATATGCATAACTCTTTATGCAATATGAAGACAATGCATTTTGAAAGGTGGACTTAAGGCAAATATTCTTCTGAGGCTTCGATGAACAACAGCAACCCAGTAAGCCATATAGACTAAGAAGAAATCACTTTCAGTCCTATACATCTATGACTGAAAAGATGAGGGAAACTCCAAGCATGGTGGGAGAGCTATCAAGTCTCTGGTCAGTGAAAACTATAAGATCCATGTCTTCTGTTGACTTGGTAACAGGATGGTAAACAGCTACATCATGAAGATGAGAACCATGAAGTGGACTTATTAGACACCTCCATTCTGAATTCATACACTGTCTAAAAGTTCTATGGCTGAATTATGATCCACCTGACCTGTTTTATTGCATAAAAAGGAATACTGAAATGTGTGGTGTGCAAAGGAGTTGACTGTGCAGTTCAGAGAATCCAATGAGCTGACTGAAGTATAACATATCTTGCATTGGCTGGCTGCTGTCATGTGTGTCAAATGAAGAATCAAATTGGATAGGGTGGGGGGATGGAACTGAAAGGCAGTATGCAAGTGTATTACGGCAAGAAATATGACTTTGGTCTGTGCTGTGCCCTTCTTCAAGCTGTGGCACACCAAAACCTAACTGTGACTGGCTGTGATGAGCCTGACACTGATGAGCATGTGGTGTGACAAACAAAGCACACACTTCCTCTGTGTGTGGAGCAATGAAACTGTCTTTTGTGAACAAAGTTCTAGGTCTGCGGTCCAAGCAGCAATGTATGAATCATAACCATGGACCATGTGGAATATGGAGTAGAATGCAACTGTTGCATGGCCAGGCATCAAAGAAGGTTACAATCCAATTTTTATGCAAGTGTTTATGTTGTAAAATTTATAATTTTTCTTCTAAGGCTTTTAGAATAACAATAACACAAATCTGGTGGAAATAAATCCATTAAATTAAACCAAAACCTGCTACCTTTCACATCACTATTTCTATTATTAATATTTTTGTTCTTATCGATATTCATAAATACAATGGTCATAATTTTTTTTCTAGACTGGTGAAAATGGAATATAAAACTACCACATCAAATTTTGTTCATGTACCAAATGTGGTTTAAAAGCCCCATGCTTAGAAGGTTAAATACAAATATGGATTATGACCCACTGCACAATTGAACTTTAAAATCCAAAGATTCCCCAGCTGTAAGGACAAGAAAAAATTAAATGCTATGTGCTAAAATAAACATTTGTTCTTACAATTTCCAATTTACTACATGGTTCTCACTTACTGTGGTCAAATGGACTTGCACTTATGGCAACAAGAAAAGATTAAGAAACACAGATATATCACCATCTTACCAGTTTCATTTCAACTTCTCCGCCAATCAACTTTGATAAGAAGTCATTTGTTTCTGGTGTCAGAGGTTTAGCAACAACATCCTTCAGAGTCACTTTCACTGCCTGACATGGAATCTGAAACATGGGCCCTAGGTGAGATCACTCCCATTTGGACAAATTTATAGAAAATATTTCATTAATGTCACACATCTCAGTCCCTCTTAGCTTATTCTGCAGCTGCAGTTCAAAAAGTTTCTTTCATATGTTGCATATTTTGGCTGGCTATTAAATGCTACTTCTAAATCTCTGTCAACATACAACACCAATTCTATTCAAGAACACTGGAACATGCAGCTACAAGAATCATATTTTCTGTTCATTTAATACTCCTTCTCAAGCATGGTCTTCAGACTTGGTCCCACTAGGCTGTCTACTACCTCCAAGGGCCCTCCAACAACAAATTCATGACCCTGAGGCATCATGCTGGTACCAATTTGCTACCAGCTATCATGCAGGAGGTCACAACCCAAGATGCCATAACAACATCTCTTGCTCACCCAGTTGTACCAGACACTGCTCCACATCCTTGAACACAGTGTGGGTATGTTGTGCATCCAGATCTGGGATGAACTTGTTTATAATTGTGGCAACAAACACCAAAGTCCTCAGAGAATGCTGCCCCAGGGTTAGCTCCCCTGATGTCATGAAAAGCATAGTTGTCATTCGTGCATTTGGGTATTTAAATGCTGCTAGTAGTAGCGTGTGCACCTGCTGCTTGAAGAAGTGCATGCACTATCCAAAATAATTATTTTTTAAATATAGTAAAATGCAATGTACATACCTTTTTTGGTTGATCTGCTAGATGTATATACAGGCTTCACCCTTGTGTCACCTAACTAAATTTTGCCTTTGTGTGGTACTCTTTGAAGCACCAGAGAATGCACAGCCCCATATCACATTTCTTGAATTTTGTGAGGATGCTTCTCTTCCCACACAAAGAACAGACACGACAATTCATTCTCATGGCTGAGGAGGTTGGCCAGTGAAGCTGATTGGCCTCCTCTAGGTGAGGGGACACCCTGCAGAATAGTCCAGCACGTTTCGCAAAAAGGTGAAATGGAAGTCTCAATGTGATACTTTTGCACCACAGGATGACAAGACGACGAAACTGTTCAGAATCATCAGAGCCAGTAAACAGAAGAACAGGTGCTTTGTTCATTTCCAGGTCCAATGACTGATGGAATAACTGTTTGTCATCCTGTCACTTTTGTCAACATATCAGCTATAATTTCTGGTTTTATGGAATTTCCACATTAGTCATAGAAATTGCCTTCGGCTGGAGAAGTGTGCATGTTTGTTAGCATATATATAGGATGTATGTCCTTCTAAACTAATGCTATCGTGTCACCTTATTCCTTTTCATTGAACACAATAAGGCAGGGCATGCACTAGATATCAGCTAGTAGCAAGTGTCTTTTTTCCACAATACTAAGCTAGTCAATGCAATTCAAGATGCTTTGCGTGGGTTGAGCAAGAGTCTATCTTCTACAATACAAAGCAGGCACTGCATTTCAAGGCCTTTCGCATGGGTTCATAGGTTTGACCATGAGATGCTGAACAGAGAAATATCTTAGTGGTAAACTAACAGAGATTGTGTTGGAAAGTGAAAGGGGGTGTCAGAAGAGGTATAACATTTTTTTTCATATATTATGTGATACTATGATTTTTGTTGATAAAAACGTAGTCAATTGAATTTATCATAAAAATTGTATGACAGCATTTTTACTGACAAGCTAAAATAGTTTAAATGTCCTAAAACAGGGGGGCATTTAAATTTACTCTGGCCAGCTCCACCTCACTAAAATTTAAATGGCCCAGACCTTAGAGGTTAACAATATCACAGGCATACTGGCTGGAAGGTCTCACAGACCAAGTATGTGAAAAGAATGCATTCACTTTAGTCTTACCCTTTTCAGATCATCAGGAAGAGGTTTCAGCTTGTCTTTGGTAACACTAACCATATTACCAAAGTCAACATAGGTCACTTCCACAACCTCATCTTTGACTTCAAGGACTTGGGCCCTGTAATAGTTCCCATCTGGCGCAAACTGGCAGGCAACCATCTCATTTTTGGAAGGCAGGTGGTCCAACTCTGGTGCTGGAGAAAGACAAAGTTGAAATGCATCAAACAGTTCTTCTAGAGTGTGGTTTCAAGGGTTCTGACACTGTGTAATATGGTAGATGCTTAAAGATGTTTTGGAAGTACATGCTACCTCCATCTTTTGGGCAGAAATGCTGTGCCTTAACCCAGGAAAAATCTAAATCAATGAAAACCTTACGTATCACACAACAAGAGCTTGCTCTATCCTCTGAGAAGCACCACACCGATGTGTTTGCGTGCGCGTGCATGTGTGTGTGTGTGTGTGGGGGGGGATCAGCCCGTAAAAAGTTAAATGGTGGAAACATGACAATGAAAGAACTGACTTAGAATTATTAACAATGAACCTTAACAGATGGGAAGCCTAACATTGGGAGTCATTAAGAGGGTGCCTGTGTAAATTACACACACCTACTGTTAGAAACCAAATTTCAGAACAAAATTAAAAACCGGCTGTCCAGATGAAAGGCATGATCTCAACACCCAAGATTAGCAGAAATGTTGGGATATAATGATGTATAGTCTGTTAACAGTCAACCAACATTTCGGAGGAACATGTTGCTTAACTGCTTCATGCTGGTTTCTTGTTTGGCTAATCTTCGACGCTGAAGACAGAGTCAATATGTTTCTCCAAAACGTTCACTAACTTCCAACAGACTACATGGCATTATATCTCAGAAGACAGAATTCTTCATAAACATCCCTGTGAGAATCTCAAATCCTAGGTTGTATCTTAAGTCTCCCAGACTTTGTTCTTGGTGTGATGTGGAAATAAAATAACCAGCAATAAGAAATAATACTCTACAATAACTAGCAATAAGAAATAATACTCTATAACAATAAAGTCAATAAATTCATTAAGCGGTGTCTGATTTTTCAAACTGAAATATACCTTTTATGCAGTGTAGGCCAACATCCTGAATTAACTGAGAGTACACCTCTTTTGCACTGCTTGATGCAGGACGTATGAATAGCGATTTCTGATTAAAAAACACCTGAAGGACAACAATATCATTATTCTTTATTTCAACACTCTTCAGCCCCTCATCTTCTATACTTGGAACCCAACGTCTCAGCACAGCCTTGCAAATTTCTTCACCAGTAACTGATTGCAGAACACATGTCACTGTCTTCTGAACTTCATTCACACTTTCCACTGTGAACAAGAACCTCCTGGTCTCCTGCAACATATTAATGTGGTTAGTTCCAAAATTTCTGATGATATATAAATGAAAGGATGGAAAAGAATGAACCCATTAATCCTGTCAGGCTAAGGAAAGAACAAAAAAAGTAGGTACTGAAGGGGTGGAATCATCAAGAGAAATATTTGTACCTGAAATGATGAAGGAAATTTGGGATGGCAGATACTATTTCTTGGGTTATTTTATGACAATGTTTCAAATGCATAGCTTATAAGGCACTAAATGAGTTGGCAAAGTGATGAAGAAGTCAGTAAGCAAGGATATGAAAGGAGGTGGTCATGGCCTCCTTGAAGGTACTATCAAAGGACAATTTCAAAGGCATCATGGTTACTGCTGCATCTGTCACTGATATGACAACTTAATAAAACCATGCAGTATGAATGACTACATATTTAAATTTGTATAATTACATTGGCACTTCATTCTATGTGGTTTGGCAGAATTTTATCTTCAGGGATGTTTATGTCAATGAAAGTTTCATTTTCTACAATATACTGAAACACAGTAAAATCTTTTGGTGGTTATTGAGACATGATCCTTGAAGGTAAATGGAAATAAATTATAATAAATAATTTTATATTCCTGCATTTGGGGAAAAGTTTTGTGGTCCTGGCTGAAGCTCCATATAACATACTATGTTCCTTGATTCAGTGTTTTCTAATTTAAGAATTTACCCACACTTTATGAGAGAAAGTCTTATTCTTACATAGCATTTGAACCTCAAATTATTACTGAAGGAAAATTTTCTGTGTTCAAACTTCAACTTCTTTGCTGCCAGTCTTGTGCTGTTCAGTAACATTACCTGCACTGTATGCTTTAACATGTTTATAAGCATATAAATATACACAAGGACACTGAGGTGAATGAAGAAGACACAGAAGAGCAGCAATCTGTTCCAACATTTTGGGAGGTAGCTGCTGGTTTCAAGATGATGCAACAGTACCTAAATTAATTTAAAACTGATGGTGCCAGCATGCAGTGACTGGCCCAATTAGAAATGGAATTGCTGTTAATCCCGTGGACAAGGCAGGCAAAACAGACTTCCCTTTTCTATCAATTTTAAAACTTGCACCATCTTTTATCAGTTATATAACTCTACTCGGAGAAAATCCACAACACTGTAACTTCCTGTTTCCTAACATAAGCTCAGCTAAAATTTACCTGTAAGCCAACAACGCCTGAAATATCCCAATATCTTGTTAAATAACTTATAGATTATAATACCACAATGAGCTCCTCCCCTTCAGCCCTTCCTTAACTTTGAATCAATCACCACGTGGTGCATATGAAACTGCTGGTTCAGGCTTGAGGAATGGACTATTTAAACTATTGTGACTGAAGACAACCATATGGTCATGTGTATGTGTGACTACAGACGGTGTATGGATTGGTGAATAGATTTACTGACCATTTATAGGTCATAGCTACAAATAACTGTAAAACTATTGCTGATTTCCACACTTTACAAGCTACACCTCCTCCAGCCTGCAGTGTCTTCACTAGTCGGTCCTTGGTAACAGCTCTCAACAATGGAGATTCTTCAGCTTCTGTGCTCATGTCACTAATGTCTGGTGAATATCCCATAAATGAACTGTCAGCTTAATTATAGCACCATCTCTTCTCAGCCTCCCTTGCAGAACTTCACTCATTTCTCTGTCCTAGTTATAACTTTTCGACATGGGCCACACAGACAATACAATTCCTCTATCGTTGTGTGTGTGTATTCGTTGCCATGGGAATGTGTTTATCGAGCTGTTGCCCAGAAACGAGTTCATAACACCTGTTTATTAAGAATCTGCTGCCCTAGCAATGGGTGTTGTTTCGTGATCATTACCCAGCAACAGGTGTATATGCTACAATATTCTCAGTATCCTGAATTTCACTGACACAGGAATCCAGGAGAGTGCAAACTTGTGAACAAGATGGCATAAATTGCTTGTTGACATTCCCACCAGTGGCGTGCGGTACTATGTTTTGGTAAGGGAAGCAGTGGTATCTAATAAACGAACTGATAGCAATCAACTCACCAAAATTTACGTCACTTATTGAGTCAATAAGGTCGTTTTGTATTCTGTTCGATAAACCTGTAAATACTGTACTGTTCTCAAGGTGAACACTGAGTTTATGATCATATGTCCTCAACAAGTGAACTAATTCCACATAATTACCTTGGTCGATAGAATCCATGCTTTCGTCATGACCACAGATGGCAAGTTGCCTCTTTCCTAAATGGCACATGATATCAATTGTTTCATTATTTCTCTATTTTCTTTCACATTTGAGATTTCTCGAACATAACAAGTTGCACTGTTGAAATAATGTGCCTTGAGAGTTCTCATGACGTTTCAGTGCTTTATGAAGATTGTTGATATCACCAAATCCAGTCTTGTTCCATACATTTTTTTCAATGAGAAACAATAGGCATGACCAACAAAACAATTTTCCTATATTACCGCAACCGGATAGCTAATCTGTTTTAGAATACTGTTCCAAATTAAATATCCTCGCATATAATTTGGTTTGTGCCTTAAGTGCTGGCAACTTGCATGTCAGTTGTCCTCTTTCTATAATTATTTTCTTTTCTGAAAAGTCCCTGCTATTAAACTCCCATTTTAAAAGGTTTTCGATTGCAGAGTCACAGTTGCGTTCTGTCAGCATTCATATTAGCTGTTGCCTGTGGATGTGGTCTAATCACGCCCCCGCCCTTGTACCACAATATCAGACTTGCTTCCCTTAAACGCAGATAGCTTCTTTCTGATGCCTCAAAATATGATCACAAATACAATCTTACACCATCTAAATATACAGTTACAATATTTTAATAACACTTAAAGCTACCTATAACACCTAACAAGACTGAAAACACATATATGCAGTTCATTTTCAAATAACTATCAAAAGAGCACATTCCTTTGCTGGATTAGCCAGCAAACCAAAATTTGCTTCCCTTGGCCCCTTGAGATTAGACAAATTATTATGAAGGTTAACGAAAGGAAACTTGGTCCATCCCACCAAGCAGGGGAAGGGAGGAGGCATGTGGCCTTGAGAAGGAACACGCACTAAGTGACAATATTCACGTCATTTTTATTCAAATTGAATTATTTGTATACGACTCCTTTTCTTTTCATTTCTTAACTACGGAAGCATTGCTTCTTGCTTCCATTCACGGCACGCCACTGATTCCCTCACACACTTCCTCACCCTCACGCCTTAAGTGTAAAGATGCTTGGATATTTGAGCATATATAATGTGTTCACCTGTACAGACCCATCCAGTACACTTCTTTATACCTGTATATTCAAATTGCAAAAATACCTACCTGAACACTGTGGCATGTAAACCAAGTGGAAAAAGTAACCTTGTCTCTGCCCTCAGCTCCCCCCATGCACATCCATGTACACACACCCACCTCAGACCTCCCATTCATCCTAGATAACCCACAGCCTGTCAGCCAAGGCTCTGGCCTTAACCTCCATCACCAAATAAACTGGCAAACGACCAAAAAACCTTAAGAGCAGCTACAGACACAGTAACTTATGTAGTTAATGAAACATCATTAAATAAATCAAGGAGAATGGGAAGGAAAAGATAATTTATCAACAAATTCAGAATTGTACTATTTTCTACTTACGGGAGACCACAGTTTCTCCGTGGGTTTCGTACAGCTAATAACACTGCATCTAGCTGCAAATTCTGGAATCGATGCCAAATCTTCAGGCAGTTTCTTCACAGTTTTCACATTGCCTATACATCCCACATCACAGAAACTGACCTGGTAGTGGCCAGAACTACCAAAAGACAGAATGTAAGCTCTATTCCATGTATTATCTTCTTCTGTAACTCCAACTTTGGCAAAAGCTCCAACCATATCTCCAACATTAGGTCTGGAAAAAAAGTGTCCCAGAATTAGTAACTTTTTGGACTTTGTCTATTCTCTAATATTTAGAGAACACAATGGTTTGGAAACTGGATTAGTTCCCACCCTCAGGGGTGGAAAGCACCTACCCTGTGTGGTCCATTAGAAAGAGCTAACCACAATTGGTGGGCCAATCCAGTAATATTAACTTTCTATAGCCTCATTTCCCAATTCAATGACAGAAACTGAAAATGTGTATGTACAAAGAGAAAATGAAAGATGATGACTGAACGGGAAGAAAAGTTGTAGATAGGTCAACAACTTATTGGTCCTATGGTTCTACATTACATAAATACTTCAACTGATGAGAGGTACCTTTGTTTGCTGTCCTTAGAAGTAGGGACTGTAACATAATCTCATAACCCCGACCACTTGCTAGCCACATTTGTAGATCAGCTCAGTGCAAAAAAGAGTTGTTTTTAAATTCCCCCATGACAGTTAAAACCAAACCTCTATACTGTCACTGTTTTTATTTCGTGATCGATAATCGCAATCAAGAATTGATACAAACGATTGCATAAATACTGATATGCCCTTATTTTTCAATTTTATGAATTTACATTGAAGTTCTTCACTCTATACCTCTGTCCAAAATGCAATTTATTTATTTTCTCCTTCTCCTTTTCACTTTAACAACATGTTTCTTCCAAAAACTGTTTCACAGTGTGCTATATCACATATGAATGCAATATGTCCTAATTTAAAATAATGGACTCTATAAGATTAATAAAAAATCAATAAAGTCTAGTTAAAATTTTTCATTGTGTAGATTTTCTTTGTTTGAATTACTTGCACTGTGGCATGGGTGTTTGTGTGTATGTCTCTCTCTAAATATTGATGTTATCATGCATGCCTCCTGCCTGGGGTGGTGTTGTTCCATGTATGTAGACCTTATGTAGAAGTTTTGTGTATTATAATTTCAAACCTTTCTGTTCATCTTCTACTCAGTGACTTAGCGAGTCACATTCAACACACAGCGAGAAACATACTGTTCCCAGCATAGGCAGGCAATTGGCCTTTGCTGAGGCTATCTGCAGAACACAGTTACAACACAGGTCATTCACTTCCTTCCGAGGGCAAGTCACAGCTACCATGAGAAGACTTTAGGAACAAGACACAGCATAAGAAATGATCCTGATTAACCACTGGCTGAAGAAAAAGACTTATATCCTTCTGTAAGTGACAGAAACACTTTACAGACACACAATGGACAGTACACAAACCCAACCTTTTGTATCTGGAATCCACGGCTTTACTGGGGGGGTCCAGTAGTTCAAGGCAAAATGAGGCACCTCATATTATGAAAGACTTCACCAATGAACACTGTCATGTTCTTTTTCTCTGAAATTATGCAGCTGCTGGTGGAAGACACTAACGGATATTACCATCAATATTTGGGCATGCTCAACAGAGGGCAAGCCCCTCTGCCTGACATGACTATCCAGGAAGTGTACTAGTGTCAACCTATTATTGTGATCAGAGAAACAGTGAAAGTATATCGGTCCTCACTATAACAGTATTTTACAGAAAAACAATGACAAAAGACAGATTCTTTCATACACTGAGATCTCTACATTTCAGGGACAACATGATCAAAGTTGATAAAACTGATGTAAATTATGACCAATTATGAAAAACAAGAACTATACGTGACAAGCTCAATGATGCATATGCTAAATATTACAACATAACCAAAATTTTAGCAGTTGATGAGACCAGTGCTCTCATTAAAGGCAGTACACACTAAGAAACAAAAAGTTTTGGATGAAAGTCTATAGGGTAAGTGATTCTAAGGGATATACATACAATATGGACACGTATTTAGGCAAGGGCAGGAAACATATAAGTGCAACAATAACAGCCACATAAGGAACTATGACAGAGGTGACCACAAGCATTGAAAATGTGGGGCATAAGCTCTTCATGGAAAATTTCTTCTCACCTTATTACTATTTACTTACATACATCATAAACAGCTGTGATAATACACAAGACATGATTGTGAAACAGCCATTACATGTACTTAACTGTAAAATACATGCTATGGTGTGACACACAAACTGTACATGAACCCACAGCTGTTCAGTGCTATAACCTAAATGAAATGGACACATTAAAAAGTTACCATACTTGTAATGAACATAGCCCTCGACATAACATTTGTAGATAGGATCTACGAGTATATTATCTGTCTCAGGTCTCATCTCATTATGTTCATCATAGTCATAAACACAGATAGTGAAATGAATTTCATGAATATGTATTCGTGGATGGGGGGAGGGGGGACAATGACATTTACCTGTATCCACCACACTTTCCCTTCTTTTCTGCTGAATGAAGTTTAAAAAACAAATGATTACAGTGGCTTTGAATATGTTAAGTGAATTAGAGCATAACAATTCAATAAAATTATATATTCAAATTATGCATGAGGAAAAACAGGTATTTTGAAATCACTCAACAACCAACATAACTGTTGCTACTACACCTCCTTTCATGTTCTTGTATGAAAGAGACCAGTGTTTGGGTGTAAGGAGCGTCACTGCTTACTCACTTGTAGTTCTTATCTACTGGAGCACTCTCACATGCCTTTTGCAGCTCTCCAAATAACTTGACAAACTTCTCTTTGATTTCAGGATACACAATTGTAGCAGTAAAATCTCCACCAATCAGGTGCTGTATGAACTGGCCACCACCTTGTGTTTTCACTTTCAAACCATCAACTGCAAAGCTGAAAAAGAACTAAATCACTGTAAAGGAAATTTTCAGATTTGTACAGAACACACAGGTTCTAGGAACATGAAATGCATTTACACAGATTTTCTCTATCTTCCCAAATTTTGAAGAAAAAAAAAGTCAATGTAGGATTCCTGTTTACCACATTTAACATTAACATTTTCTTGTCCCAGGGAAGTACACCACAAATACTTGGTCATAACAAGACTTTTCTACTTTTACTTTCAATTGAAAAACAGAAGGTAATTGTACTGTAGTATATAGACCCGTTACTGGGCAATGACTTGAAACAAACAACGAAATGACATTCACTGCTAGGCAACAGATGTGTAATAAGCAAGTACACACAACTGTTACCAACTAACACCTTGGCAAACAGACATGAAAACAAAACTGAATTGTTTCATTTTCCTAACCACTTCCACCATCCTTGCATGCAGTATTTCCAATACCATATTTTTAAACACACTACATGGCACCTAAAATATCAGACGTTATCCCACATTTCCAGGGTCTGTCCTCTCCTTAACTAAAGGAAACACTCCTCGAATCAGAACACAGGCAGTGTTGTCCAATTCAGTATGGCCACAGAACATTTTCACACTTGAAAAATGTTCATCGAACCAGTAATAAAATTCTTACACATCAAGCTTAATCAAGCAGACCATACATAAGTAATAATAAAATACACATGTTAAACAAGGATACAAGATCAACATATTGCTTCGCTACAAAAATTTAAAAATAAATATGCCATATATTCACAATTATAAAAGAGAAGGGCTCTAACCTTTAGTCTGTTTTTGTATTTTGTTTCTGTCTTTTCATATTTCAAGAATTAAATTTTGCAAATGAATGTGCTATAAAGAAGCTGCAAAATGAAACTTATTTTTATTAAGTTCATAACAATTTTTTACACTGTAATGGGTTTGTCTGCATTACCCCAACTTCACAGAGCAGAGATTTCCCCTCATTATTCATTAGGTCTAAGTATTAAGATCATGCCTGTGAATATTTTGAGGACAGAACACTGAGTTCACCTCAAATGCTTCTAATGGGCATTTTGCACCCATCACATGCTTCTGGTGGAGAGTTTTGTAATGAAACATTCACGGCTTTTATTAATTTTCTGGTTATATTTGAAGCTCTGCTCCTCAAATTGACAATGTACCCTCAAGATGAGAAGGCAGTCAGTTAGGAATGTGCTTTTCCAGCCCAGCTGCTCATCAATACCTAAAGCTTTGGTTTCCTCGGGTAGCGGTACCGTAATCCAGCGGCTGTGATATGACGGTGAATGACGTCACTAAAATGTTACCACAGAAACAAAGGAACATGGTTTCCAAGAAAGCGTTGACCACCATTGCCACGTAAAATAGCAGTGCCACCATTTGTATGATGGCGGTGAGTGTGGTGACAAACAGTTCTAACGACGTTTTTGTATGGTATGGTGAACTTTTTGTTTAGAATGACATGCTGGAGTAGTGAAGAAGATGAAGAATCATGAGATGGTACATAATGCGAAGAGCAAAGACTACAGACAAGCCCGGCTGAAACAAAATCCGTGGTGTGAAATCGGTTAATGTGGTGTTAAACGAAAATATTCCCTGAATTTGTCTTCATTGCAGTGCAGATGACGACGCACTAAAATTTCATATGCACCTTCTTTAGCATGCCTTTTGAAAATGTCACTTGCCTCCAAACGTTCCATATCGTCTTCTAATGACTGTTCATCTTCCGAAAATATTAATAACGCCAAGTTGAGATCATCCATTTTTAAATTTCTTCTTTGATATTATAACACGTTCTACACGACACACCGTCACAACACACCAGCCCTCGGCTCTAGCTTTGCAGCACTGTTCTGCATAAACAATAAGTCTGTTAAAATCTACTAGACAGCAATGTGTAATTTATTTAGTTGAAAACAGCAAGTTTTCCTTCTCCACATAGCCCCATTTTCAATCCTCTGGACATACAAGCTCACCCTCCTAACACTGCCATGGTCGTGAGATATCATCAGCCCGATCTGATCTGGTTTAAAAACCTTGGCCTCAATCATGTTACCTGGAAACCTCAATCAACGCCACTACAGCCAAACAACTGAGAGAAGGAAGCAATCAATTTTGAATGGGCAAAACATGGTACAGGAAGTGTAAGCAGGCTATAGGGAGTCAGCAACACCTTGCCAGTCATGCTAGGTAGTGTGTTTCATTACACCTCACAGCCTTCCTTTTGTTCTTTGTCCCTCGTCACAGTACAGTTAAGTTGTGGCTGGTCTTGAAAGGCACATCATTCCCAGTGGATCACCTTCCCAACTTAATTAAGCAAGTGACATCAACCTGAATAGAGGAGTCCCATATGATGACAGAAATTTAACAAGACCATGAATGTTTCATTACAAATTTTACACACTCCCTCAGAAGGAGATTTGTATGATACATGTTCAATATACTGACATACTACTGTATTTTATTAAACACATTTACCTAGGTTTGTGCCCCTTAACGTGAACGATTTCTATATCCTGCTTTGGTTGTGGTAAAGGACCTTTTTCCTGGGCATCTTTCAACTGTACAGAATCAACAGGTGGTGTTGAAATTTGCAGCAGAGGTGCAGCAACAGGCTTGTATAATTCTCCCTCAACATGAACCAGAATAGCACCATCGGAAGTCTGGGGGGAAAAATAAAGCTAATTTATTTTCATTTCTGTTGAATACTTAACACAACATGCTTCCTTTTACACCCTGACATTTTGCCAACACACTTGAAGATCGATACAGAGAGACTAATTGGGGCGGTGTATCTGTCCTTGAAACTTTCCACAAATCCTTGCATTCTTTCACCCCTACCCTAGAACATTGTGTTAGCATAAAGGGACCAAAAATGCAGAGCTTGGTTCACACTAGTGCAAAAATAGTGTTACAACTCACCATGTGAAACAAAAGTGAATGAATATTAAACATACAAGCCTCAAAAAAGGCCCGGTAGCCCCAGTTAAGCCGCAAACTGGTTTATCTGCCCCCGGATAATCGAGAGTTGAGTGTACTTCACTGTCATGGTCAGCAAGCACTGAACCTTCTTCAGATAGTTTCATATTTCTGTCAGAGGAATCACATATATATTCAGATTCACTATCTCCATCACAAGAAGTGGCATCTGAATCCAATTCCTCAATTGAGTCTGAAATATTTTCACATATGAGATATTCCATATGTGACATAGATGCCATGATATAAATAACAAAAGGGATGTTAGGCACAAACGCATGTTCATGTAACATAAGGAGTTCAAAGTATGAACTAACACGCTTCAAACTAGTTCTAAAACATGGCAAAGCCTTATGGGCACACACTGAAAAGCACTGAATAAATGCAATCTACTCCACCAAAGCAAATAGGTTAGCAAACAAATAAATAATTAACATACCTCTTCCACAGGCTTTATAAAAATCATGTCATCTACTTTCAGCATTCTGTATTTTTCTGACGTTCCTTCAGCAAGCTTGATTCTCAGTCCCTTGTAAGGAAGAGACAGATATTACCTCTCTTAACATCTTGAATCACAAATCTACTGTTCAATTAATTAACAGAGTAACATAAACTGCTGCTTATTGTTTAAATTATGAAGTATGATTATTTTTGTAAGGCTGGTCTCTTAATATCACAATCAGTCTCATGGACCCCATCAGCTTAAAACTGTCTTTTTGCACACCAGTGTACCAATATTATATATTATAGTACACAAAACTGCCAACTGCATTCTCTGCAGTTTATTTATGGAAGCTTGATAAACAGTACTTTAGTCAAACACAAAATATTGCGGTATATTTGCTAAAGGCAAGTGCTGTGAAGCCAGAAGGGGCAGTTGTTTCTAGGGAATGGCTCTGCAAACTGGGAAGTGGTGTTCGCTACACAGTCTGTGCAATAGCTATGTGACACAACAGAAGAGCTGTTGAAAGACGTGTTTTCTATGTGGTCCATGCCAAGGCCATATAATGAGTACCAGTTATGATTATGATAGTCTTGAGATCACAGTTAGAAGAGCAGGTGGAAATGAGACAGGCACCTGTCAGTAAGGATGTGAACATGGAAGCTGGGGAAGCTATGGCATTGGAAGCCATTATCAGGTGACAACTGGTGAAGATAGAGCAGACTGAGAAGAATTCATACATGCTGCAGTGAACAGCAGATTGTGTGAAATGACCCCTGCATACAAAATAAAAGCATGTATCAGACAATTCTCTAAATATAAACACCTGAATCAAGATCAAGAAATTTTCAACGATTTGATCTTGAAAATTCTAGACTTTGCATGCCTAGTTATGATATAATCAATGCATTATATTCCCAGACTTAATGAATTTGAATTTCGTGAATAATGANCATATACACGGCGCCAAAGCCCAGAAGACTGCTTTCTTCATAGTCACCGCCGTGAAAGCCTCAAATCTTACAATATTCTTACTTGTTCTCTGCCAGAAACTGTTACCACAAACCATCCATACGTCATTATCTTCAATAAGTGATGTCATATTGACACACACCAAACTACACCACTTTTGGCATCATAGCTGCTTTAATTCTTGACTAAAGCTATTTCAATGTTTATTTCTTATATCATTAATTATTTTAGAAATTAATTTGATATTACATAATTGTATGAAGTGGTTCTTTATTCAGTGAATCACTTCAGCAGTTTGTACTTTTCTAATCCATGCAGTCTTGGAGCTATCACTGTAAAAGGCTGTGAAGGCTCATAAGGTTGTTAGATGTTGAGGCTCCCACATTTTCTAGACAATCGGCTCGCATGTGGCAATGAGTCTGTCAAGCCTTACACACTGGCCGCCCTTTATCCCCCAGGAAGATTCCTGGTATTCACTTCTGTTAGAGGCTGAGTCAACCCCAGGGCCACAGTGGGGCTGGAAGGATTAGGTAAATTGAAATAATTACCTCATCGGGATTCGATCCCACGACCTTCCGGCTTGCAGCATAGTGCTTCAACCATTTATGCTACCACAAGACCCCCAGAGATTCCAGGTACATACTCTTTTATTTTAGGTTGGTAGTAATGGATAAAAATCCAGTACCAAAACATCAGGTATAAACACAAGTGAAATGATTAAAATATAAGTATAATTGAAAAATAAACAAATATAAGTTATGTATGTAGTGATATGTGTTTCATATATATATGGACTGCAATATGACATGTTGATAGCATAAAAGATGAAGATGGCAAATGGATGACCACTAGTGAGGCAGGATAAGTTGGGGGGAATGGGGAAATATATGCATAACAGATTATGGGAAAGTGAATATGAGATACAAGAGGAACTCTTTTGGGAGAATGGAGATAGTATTGATAGTATAGACCCACCAAATGGAAATCTTTGAGTGATGATGGTAACATGTTTATAACAAATTTTGTACACTGTTTTGATCAAGCTCTTAGATCAGTTACAAAAGATATGAACAACGGAGAAACAGTTACCAGAGGAGGAATATCCATGATTGGTGGAGGCAAGGCCTTCACTTCATCAGGAGTGCATACTTCTTCATTCCCAAAGTCAATGTAGAATACCTTTAATTCAGGTTTTACACTTGTCACTTTGCCTCGGTACCTGCAACACAGAAGGCTATAAGTACTGGGAATCCCTTGCTCAGTACTGGTTAGGTTAACATGATTATGATCATACACATTTTATATTTAGACACCTCCTTATTTCAATACAAGTGCAAGTTTGGCTATTAAGTGCACAAATGACATCAGAGTGCACCCACACCTACTGCCCAGCCTCATACGATGGGGTACCCAAAAGAAACCAAACTAATTTTTTTGTGGGCAGAGCTTTTGTAGTACCGCGTTTTGCCGCTATGAGCGCATAGAGCTAACATTCCTGAGTCGATAAGCCGACTACAGTTGCTTCAGAAGGTAAGGACTAGTTTCGGCAAAGTTTATAGTGACAACTGTTTTGTGTGATCGTCGTTTTTGCAATGGCTAATTTTCGTGAACAGCGTGCGGCGGTGAAATTCTGCTTTTTGCTCGGGAAAAGTGGAACAGAATCTCTTGAAATGTTAAAAACGGCATACAAGGACGATGCTATGGGGAAAACTCAAGTGTTTGAGTGGTTTTCCCGTTTCAAAAATGGTGAAATGTCAATTGATGACAGACCTCGTTCTGGTCGTCCTTCCATGGCCCGAACACATGAAAATGTTGAAAAAATTCATGAAATCATCAAGGAAGATCGACGACGGACCATTGAAGAAATTGTGGAGCTGTCGGAAGTGAATTGGAGCTCAGCGGCCAGATTTGTGGCAGTTGGGTGACTGGTTTTTCCATCATGACAATGCCCCTGCTCACACAGCCCTGTCTGTACGACAATTCTTGACCAAAAATGGTATGACCCCTGTTCCTCACCCTCCATACTCACCCGACCTTGCCCCGTGCAACTTTTTTTTTGTTTCCTTGAATGAAAAGAGACATGAAAGGAAAAAACGATGGAGGCACTGTCAAGCTACTCAAAAGATGAATTTAGACAATGTTTTGAAAAATGGAATAAAAGATTAGACAAGTGTATTAGTGTAAGTGAAGAGTACTTTCAAGGGGATTGAAGGTTTGTGCTTAAAATTTGAATAAATAAGTTAAAAAAAAATAAGTTCGGTTTCTTTTGGGTACCCCCTCGTACAGATGTTGTGACCTTCACTGCAGGAACATCTGTGTTGAACAGAGTAATGCACCCTTCACAAACTCAGAATAACTCCCCCCCCCCAATAATTTTGTCCTGCAATATGTAGTAATGCTACTGTGAGAAGAGTTATAAATTACAGATTCTATGGGGTGGCACACAAAATGATTCAGTATTTGATCTATCAATAAAACCTTTATTTCAATTACAGTACTAGAAACTAACATACTGTGGCATATTGGCTCTATGCAGGAACTGTTGAGCCACAGAGGCCTCGGGGCATGCACGCAACGTGAGAGTTGAGGATTGTATCGGTTCGTTGCTAGGTGATAACTCTGTGAACATGAAGTGCGAGTGACATCACACACCCCACTCATCCCATAACTACGCAACGCTCAGTAAACACCCCTCCCCGCTAGGCTGTGACATCATGCAACAGGGGAGTCCATGCAGACTATTGCTAGCAATCGGTAAACATGATGTCACGCAACAGTGGTAGCTATCACGTAACTGTTTTCTGTGTTGTCAGTCAGGAAGCTATATAACGAGGAGTGTTCGTCAGTGTTGAACCAGAGAGAGCCAGTTACTAGTATGAGTTGAAGTCCAGCAGCTACAAGACGAGTTGTATCAATTGAATGGAAGTGACAACAGCAGAAGAAATAATTGGGACAATGAAACTGTGAACTGTGTAAGTGTAAGAGTGAGTGTGGAATAAATTCGCTAAGATCCAGAATGATGTGAAGTTATTTGTCACGTTACAAACACCCAACATGTGACAATACAAAAACACTCTTTAATGGAGATTTATCCTTTGTGAATTAAGTGTTCACTATGATCACCATTACATCTGGCAACTTCAGCATGAACTGTGATAGTGTTGATTACTTGACAGCACATATCCTCAGTTACCTCGCTGCAGGTCTGAATGATTAGTGCTTTCAATTTTATTACTGTTTGTGGCTCTTTTGGAAAAATCTTTCCCTTATGGAATCTCCAAAGAAAGTAGTCACACAGGATTAAATAAGGACTATTTGGGGGCCAGTTCTGTCCACATATGAAACAATGACAAAATCAGTTTGTGATGACAGGCGAGTCAAAAGTGTCATGCAGAAAGTCCAAAACAACATTTTCTGTGTGCGGCCTGGCTCCATTCTGCATGAGCCACTGAGTTTGTAATAGCAAACCTGTAGCAAGGTGAGGCACAAAAGTATTGCACAACATGCTCAAATAGCGTTCACTGTTCACTGTCTCTTAGAAGAAAATTGGGTCCAGTAGTCCATGCCTTGAGATGGTGACCCACACTGTAATTCTTGGTGCATGATGCACCTTCTTATGAATCACATGTGGATTCTCTGATGCCCAAAATCACACATTTTTTTTATTAGCCACACCATCCAAGTGGAAGTATGCCTCATTAGAAAACCACATATTGTTGAATGATACCTCATTATTCTGAGCCTATTCAGGAAATGCCATTCTTTGATGTTTCTTTTGAACATTTTGTATGGATACAAATTCAAATCACTTTTCAATATTCGTTGCACTGATCGTCTGGTTATCTCCAGTTGTGCTGCAGCCTTCCTTGTTGATTTACTGGGCTTTCTTTGCAGTTACACTCTGAGAACATCAATGTTCTCCTGAGAATCCACAGATCAAGGCTGGTGATGTCTCCTCTCCAATGCTGAACCATCATTATTAAACTGATTATAAAGTTCATGGATGATTTTGAATGAAGGTGCCCATCGTGCTTGAAAATGGGCACGAAACCTCCTTTGTGTGACCACAACACTTCCTTGTTTCACTAAAGAACACTGTTTTTATGCATTGTTCTACAGTCAGTCTTCCTTTGTGAGCCATCTTGTGGAAAATGCGGCATGAGCAGGGCTGTCTGCCTACAGAAACTAGTGCACTGGGGAAGAGTAAAAACTAATCTCCATGATCTACTGTAAGTGTTACCATGTTACAGAACATCATTCACTGCTCGGTTGAATATTTAATACTAAATCAATTGCTGGATCACTTCATGCACCACCTGTATTTAAATGGGCAACACTTAAATTATAATAATACCTAAGGAGTCCTAAAATGCCCATATTTAGTCCACAAAGTGGATAATCTTCATATGCATAATTCAGTCTGCTGTAGTTAAAAACATTAAGCGCATCATGATGTTTACACCAAGTTACACAAAAACAGATCACTTGGTGTATAATACTGACAGCAACAGAATCAGGATATGGTCAGAACTAGTTTATTAGTAAATCTTTTCTTTCAGAATTCATAAGTTCATGACATCATAGTGCAATGCCCCAACTTTGGGGGGAAACCATCAGAATACGTGTGAAGGGATCATGCAAGAGAAATGAGAAAACTACAAGATATATGAGAAACTGAGAAAACTATAAGATATCTTCTCAACAAATCTGATATCATACACTTTTGTTCATTGCAGTCACCTGGCTATAACACCATGTTGAAGTGGAATTTGCTGTTTGCATCAGTATCAAAATGAACATAAAGCAGTCATGAACTGATGATTGGTCTAGAATCGAACATGAAACCAGACTTTGGAGGGGGGGTTCACAAACTGATGTTACACATACCAAAGACCTTCATAAGATGCTGCACACATGGCACCAACTTGAAGGTCACATGGGAACATTTCATGTGCTTCATACAAAACTTTCATGATGTCCACAAATTTTGCCTCTGAGTCCACAGTTTGCACCCAGTATTCCGTAGGTCCAACACTGACCGTCACCCTCACCTGGGGAGCAGAGAATATACCAGATTAGCAGCACCTTCTAGACTACTGGGGTTATTTATCAAGACTGAATGGCCTGGGAGGGGGAGACCTGGAAAAGGCCAACCCCCTAAAATGGATGGAAATATAAACTAAAGGCTAAAATACTGTACAGTGAAACCCCAATTTAAGGAACCCACATACTAGGTATATTTTTATTATTTTTTTTGCTTTAAGGGTTTACCCACAGCTTACACAATAAACTTTGATTCATATGCATTTTTGTGTTCAACTCACATGAGGCCCATTCCCCATGGCAGTTGTCTCCAAGATTCTGAGTGATACGGATGCAAAAAGGTGTCTTGGCATCATCAGTTTACCAAAACATTGTCAAGATTACAAGTTCAATAAAGAAATAATTAAACATAGTGGTGTAACTGAAGTGTTCGTGAAACTGGTGAACACCATCTTCTTCCCATACTGCTGGAGTGAGGCCCAATACACCCTAAGACGGAGTCCATCTATACCTGAGAAAGCCGGACGGACTCGATACTCACCTGCCCGGTTATCCTTCCAGTCGTAAGCTTACTGGCGCCCAAATTTCACTCCCAGCCTTCCCAAAGTGACATACCTGTTCCACAATGAGCTTGCGGAAGGTTGCTGGAGTGTTAAGAAGAAGAGACCTGGAGGTAGCAGCAGTGAGAGGTGAGGATCATCATGACCAAGGTGACCCTAGCTACAGTAAGTAGCCAAAAACAGCCAGCGGTCATCAGTGGAAGGGACGGTTATACATGCCACAATATTGGGATACTATAAATTATTAGGGTGGTAAGAAATATTGTATTTTCTGAATGGGTATGCATACAAACTTGAAAGAACTTTAAAACAGCAAGGAAACTCATTAAGTTTTTGTTGCCAACACTGACTGTATGGAATTTCAATCACTATCAAAGTGCAAAAGGCACAATAGGATGAACAGGATGCACTTATTGGCCCACTAGATCCTCAGACTAGTACCCATGGGAATATCTAAGAAACCAGGTATACCAGCCTCTGATCCCACAGTCCCTTTGAGAGAAGATTCCACATTCCATGGCCAATACTGATGCATCACAGTTGCAGTATATATGGGAAAAATTTTAATATCCTGTTTACTTCTGCAGAGTAATTACTGGAGCACATACTGTGTACCTTGAGAAAAGCTTCATATATTTCCATGCTTTTCTAAAGTTGCTTCATGTGTGTATCTGCAACTGTTTCAAAAATACGCTAATTTCTTACCACCAAAATCATGTAAAATAGCCCTGCATATCAACGATGACAACCAACCCCAGTCACAATTAAGATAGACCAAAAACAACTGGAGAATGTGAAATGTTTTAAATATTTGGGTAGCTTGTTAACAGATGATGGAAGGTGTACTAGTGAAATTAAATCCAGGATTGCCATGGCAAAAGCTGCATTTAGCAAGAAGAAGAATATTTTTACCAGCAAATTGGACTTAAATTTGAGGAAGAAACTAGTGAAATGCTACATTTGGAGCATAGCTCTGTATGGGGCTGAAACATGGACACTTAGGGCAGTAGATCAGAAACATCTGGAAAGTTTTGAAATGTGGTGTTGGAGAAGGATGGAGAAGATCAGTTGGACCGATTATGTGAGAAATGAAGAAGTGTTAATTAGAGTCAGTGAGCAGAGGAATATCCTACACGAAATAAGAAAACAGAAGGCTAATTGGATTGGTCATGTTTTACGCAGAAACTGCCTTCTAAAAGAAGTTATCGAAGGAAAGATAGATGGGCGGATAGAAGTGACAAGTAGACGAGGAAGAAGATGTAAGAAGATGCTGGATGACCTTGGGGAGAGAAGAGGATACTGTCATTTGAAGGAGAAAGCTCTAGATCGCATTAAGTGGAGGAATTGTTTTGGAAGAGACTGTGGACCTGTCGTCTTGACAGATTACTGATGATGATGATCAACGATGCACTATACTGACAGTAGTCAGAATCACTCACCTTTGTAAATCTGTCTTTTGACAGCTCCTCACACTTGCTGCTGCCAATGACAGTGGAATCTCTTAAATCTGAAGCCTCTGTCTTGCTAACAGCCCTCGACACTTCAGCACCTGGAGTTTTCACGGCAACAGCATCACCTGCTCTTGCAGGGACAGTGTCTTTACTGACAACTGATATCTTCGATCTGCTTTCTGCCAGTGGTTCAATTGTTTTTTGTACTGGTCCAGTATCTACAGATGAGGCGACAACTCCAGAATCTTGATGCATCTGGTTAGATCAAAGGCAGAAAGTTACTTCAACTACCTACTAAGTAAAGTAAGTAAAAAAGTAGAGGTATTCCTGTAACAGGCCGTGGTGGCTCATAAGGTTGTGAGATGTTGAGGTTCTACATTCCCTAGACAACCAGCTAATAGATGGTGGCAAGGTTGTCAGCCCTATGTGCCGGCTGCCCTTACCCCCAAGAATATTCTTGGTACTCATGTCTGTTAGAGGCCGAGTCAACCCCAGGACCATAGTGTGGCCGGAAGAATTAGGTAAACTGAAAAAAACAATGAACTCATCGGGAGTTGAACATGCGACCTTCCGGCTTGTACCATAGTGTCTCAACCAACTACACTACCATGTGTAAGTATACAAGCAATTACTGAAGTTAGAAAAACTTAAATATATACTGATGAGCTATAAGCAACATATTTATAGCTATGGTAAGACAAAATTGCTGTTGAAAACTTTAAAAACAGAAACTGCCATACTGACTGAATTCCAACAGACCTGATCTAAGCATCAGGAAAACCACATGAGAACCACAAACTTTTACCAATTTCTTCATAAACAGAAAAATTATTACTGTTGAAGAACAATTTTGTACCATGCAATTAATTACAGTGAAATTAATAACACAGCCTCACTAAAAATAAGCCTTAATAAGGGAAACCCTTAAGTTGAGAAAATGTATCCTTAAATGATTAAATTATAAGATTTTGGTAACATATACTAATAGCTCACGCCATACCTTGGGAGAGATTCCACTTTTTTCCATCTGAGGTCCAATACGAAGTCTTTCATTCACACTTTTCTTCTTTCCTTCTCCAGCTACAGTCTGAGCCTCAATACAGCTATTACTTGATCTCAGCCTGTCTTTATTATTACTGGTGAATGGACTATTACGATGCTCATTTACATTCTGCCCATCGTGATGATGTTTAGAGTGACTCTTCTTGGAACTTGTCCTGCTTTGTTCTTCTCTGCAAAAATGTGTCTGGGTCTGACTGTCACTACATCCAACACCACCAGAAATATTGTGTCCACTCTGCTCACTGTCCTGGTGTGTATCATTTCTCTCCTGTCTTTGTTTTCTTTCAGAGAATTTGGCTGAACCATAATTCTCCTGTGAGCCAGGCAATTTTGGAAAATCACTCACAGATCTGAAAACATACATTTGGCATTAATGTCAGAAGAAAAAGATATGCAGACAACTCATATTTCAAAGAAAAATAAGTTGTAGGCTTAAGTACTAGTGGCCTGGAGGTAAAGCCTGACACAACATACAGTGTCATTCACTAGAACTGGCAGTTGAGTCAAACTTTGTTCATTGTGAGTGATTGATCAATCAGTGTAAAGATGGTCTGCTGATAAGCAGAAGCACAATCTGTTCAAAAGCATTCACGCAGTGAGCCACAATGCTGCAAGTGTGCAACTGTTTCTTGATAGTGTTATAACCTTGTAAGATTTGAGGCTTTTACGGCAGTGACAATGAAGAAAGCAGTCTTCTGGGATTTGGCACCGTGTATATGTGGGGTTAACACCACATATACACAGTGCCAAATCCCAGAAGACTGCTTTCTTCATTGTTATAACCTTGTTTCCTGATGGAGAAACCTCTGGATTTGGGTAGCCAAGCTCATGAATTAATACATAATATTTAAAGTACTTTACAGGAGAAGATGAAAACAAAGTACAGAGAACAGAGAATTGAGTTGTTACAGCAGATGGTATTGGACAGCAAACCATCCAAAGGATTTAATTGTTCCTTGCATCCTGTTGTGTATTAAATGAATATTAGAGTTAATTTTACCGACCACACAACATGTTTTTTATTTACTGTCACTGTGACAGTAAATAAAAAATGTGTTGTGTGGTCGGTAAAATTAACTCTAATATCCATCCAAAGGATACTACAAGAGTCACCATATTGTCAAAAAATGTGGATCTACATTGCTTGTATTGTCAAGGACTTCAGACTTCATTCTTTGGACAGAAATTTAATATGAAGTATCTGATTCATATGCAAAAAAGACCATTCAGCACTACAAAATTAAGGCAGAACTGGAATTTCATATATTTCTTAGTTCAGTATGGAGGATATTAAAATCAACAAGGTTTAGATTTAAGACGTCAACCAAAGGGAAGATATTGTAATCACCAGAGTCACTTCTCTGCAGCAATGCACATCAGACATCCACAGGCAATGGACCCCATTACTTTTTTTTATTTGGATGAAACATTACTTAACCAGAACCATTCTCCATGCAGATCACAAGTTTCTAACGATAAGGATCGCGCCATTAAGGAAACATGGAAGAATAACTGGCTGCCCTGTCAGATAATCTGAAATGGGCTTTCTCAAAGGACGAAAATTAGCCTCTTGGTCCCAGAAAAAAATCCTCAAATCATAATTACCACACTGACAAGAATGTCACATTTTAAAGAACTGATTTCATTAGTAAAGACAAAGTTGTCCCTGTGCTTAACTAATTAAGCACCATGAAGGGTATGGGGGAATGGATGTATAGATCCACATTTTATTGACCTCAGCACTAGCTGGAGGTGAGTGGTCAGCTTCATGCCCCGGCTGCTTTACCCGCGGAGAAAGAGCTTCCAGTACCCATTGGATGTTCTTAAAGAAATTAAAAGAACCATATAATGAGAAAGCTGTGATTGTGATGGTTAACACTAGTTACAATTCTATAACTCTGAACAATGCCCAGGCTTGAAACACTACAAATGTCAGCAAAGTAGTGGGGTCATCAGTTAAGAACATTACATATGATCCAAATAAGACTCAAGCTGGACTAATGGGATCGGTGTGATTCACAAGGAGGAAAATTCTCTGGTATGAACTTGATGCTATAGCTCATGCTTACAGTCATACTGTTGGGAGACTGATGCCATACCACCGCCATTACAACATTAAAGAATTGGTATGCATTCAAGTAAAATGTGAGGTGGCTGACAAACACTATACTCAGGGTTTCAGGTACAGAAATTTCAATGAACACTGCCACTGACATTATGAAAACGGTTTGGCAGTCATGTGTTAAGCACACACAAAATCTTCAAGATCAAGATTTCAGGAGCAAATAGCTATGTAACATCATTCAGGACCCAGTAATGGTCAATCTACAAAATGGTAGCTCCTCTGCAGGTAATTTAGAATCCTGCGATGAAGAGGAATTTTCCAATACGATGGGTGGTAGGACTACTTATAGGACACTGTCACCTCAAAGGACGCCTATTCAAACTGGGACTAAGTGACAGTCCCACTTGTGAGAGGTGTCAAGAAGAAAACGAAACAGCCACACACATCCTGTGTGAATGTGAGGCCTTAGCTTATTTTAGACTATATCACTTGGGTCAATACTTTATGGAACCAAGTGACTATTTTGACGCCCCCATCTACAAAATCCTGCCCTTCATTCAGAGCGCGGGATTGCTGAGGGGATAATCAAAAGGAGAAGCACAATAGACCACTGTAGGTCACGGTGCAAGGGCCGAGAAGGCCTACCCCTCATACATTCATTCATTCATTCATCTCTAGGTGCAGCCTTCAGAGCATAAAATGAAGCAGGTAGTTTCTGTTAATTCCTAATTCAGGCATTTACTGAAAACCAACATTCCACGATATTATATTTGGCACCACTGTTTCTCCTTGCTTCCAGGCCATAGGACATAAGCTTCATGCACACTTCACCTACCAATTCTACTGAAAAATATTATAAGACATCACCAATAGATAGAAGCAAATGATCAGTTTTATGCCCCGGGTGCTTTATCCCTAAGGAATAAGCCCACATCACTTTTTGGATAGGATGATTGTACTCCAGATATGGTCTACATGAGGTGCCAAAGTGAAAAATCTCCGCTCAAGATAGGACTTGAACCTGATATTCCAGCCCACAGACTGCACAGGAAAATGGGCAAAAATAAAATAACGGATCAAATACACGTATTTTTACCACACAGTTTTGTACTTTACGAAATAATTCAAAATTTGCAGGCAGTAATTTAGTGAACATTACAAACAATAAAATCATTACTTACGATCTTGGAACGCAATTTGTCTTGTGGCGTGGCCAGTCCTTCACCTGACATTCCCGACTACAATACCACTCACAACAACGCTGGCAGTATTGGGTTGTCTTCCTTTCACAGTGTGAACATTTTCCATATTTCCCAGTCATGTCCACCATCTGACCATACTCATACCAGCCCTGCACAGTAATAATCACATGCTAATTATAACAAAGATTAATATTCAGAGCAAAGCATTCATGTACTGATCGGTTTTGGTAGATACGAATGCCAAATGAAGACATACATCAGTCTGTGTACTTACATTATACTCTCGTTCATACATCCGTTCTATTGATTCTGCTAGCAAATGCCTCTCATCTTTTGTATAGGTCTTAATCTCAATCTCATAACGTGTTTCTACTGAAGGTCTTTCACTGAAACAAAAGACATGTTCACAAGCATAAAACATTCCAAACGTGATATCAGATGTCAGAACTCAAATGGATGAGACACAACTCAAAAAAGAGGCACAGAAAAGCAACGATTAAGTGATAAAACTTATGTTAATGTCTCAATTAGTTATTCTACTTGCTACAAACCCTGAAGTCTGAAATAATGGTAAAAGGGGTAGCCATGAAAGTGTGTAGGTGCTGTGGCGATAAAGGTTAACACATAATAAATTGTGGATTTAGATCAGTGGTTGTCAACCTGTGGGTCATGGAGAACATTCAGCTGTGCTGTGGACATAACAAACTCACTTTAATTTTCACATCAATAAATGAAGCTTAATAAAGGCGATAAACATGGAACCATGTGGGATATAAACTAATATCCAGATTCATTGCATATGAATTCTTTGTTGTGCAATTGCTTTAATGGTGTATTTGGGTATGATGTAATTTTTGTGCAATATTTGTGTACTGCAGTTAATGATATTACACAACAATCCATGTGCTTTCATGCATTTATTTACAACTTCCATGGTGGTCTTCATAGCGGTGATTAGAATATATCATTTGTTGTCACATCTACCATTTCAATTAAGCTAGAGCCATCTTCCTTGTCACCATGCAAGACACAATGGCGCCCTAGTACTGATTTTAGAACTGCCCTTCCATATTCTACTTCACACCTTAATGCACATTGCAGAGTTAAGTTTCCATTTGTATGATTCATAACCAAGTCATTTGTTGGCACTTAACATGTGCATCGACAGACTGCCTCAGTACAGTATACAGGTTACTTCCCTGTGTTTTCATGACTAAATATATAACTCTTATGTGTGTATTTTTATAGCCTAACTGTACAGTGATTATGGAGGGGGGGGCACTAAAGACATGGAAGGAAAAGAAGTATCAAGAGGAATTATGTAGTAATGCTTTACCTCAACAGCTATTAATGATGACAGCAGCGTGTGATATACAGTGATGTGCTGGAAAATGAGTCTTTCAAGATGAATAAGTCAATATGACATGAACAAACACAGTTCCCTGGTTAATCACAGCACAAAATTTTTATAAGAAAAGACAAAACTGTAAAGAGTTGGGAGATCATTGTGCTCTTCTCATTTTGCAAGGCTGGATGCTGGATAAGGTTCCTCTCCTTCTACTAAGTGCAACTGAAGCAGCTCGGCATATTTTCTGTATTTGTCTTTCCAGGCCATTAACCATGGAGGTGGCCCCCACTGCACTACAAACATTGAGGAGGTCGCTTGCAATTGGCTCAAACATCACCAACGTTTTGGAGTTGCAGCACTGCATAAGGCCAGTCTAAGCACTGTGTAACTACCTTGATGATAATATGGTTAAGGCTATTCAGCTTGTGTTTGTCCGCTGGGTGCTCTTTGAATTGTAGTCATTTGCCTCATGTTTATGATGTTGAAGCCCAAGTTCACAACGCTGTTGGAAATATCTTCCGCTGGTGTGTCTGGGGAAAGGTGATGGATTACTGCCTTGATAGGCTTTTGGAATTTGGTAAGAAGGTAAAACAGTGAAGATTATTTTTCTCCAGGTAGGATTTCATGGCTGAATAGTCTGCCATTTCTTTTGTTATGATACAGGTTCCTTTTCATGTATTTGAGAACTTGTATTCTCTTTAACATGGTCTCTTAAGTCACTTTGGAGTCCAATGATGTTTGTGGTAGAAGTCGTCATTACTGACGGCAGCCCACCTGGTTTTCTGCGAGCTTCCTGCTCTGCTCCAGTAGTTTCCATGTTCATGTCAGTAGTTCTGAGGTGCGAAGAGGTTGCGAGTTAACACTAATTTTGGAGGCAGCTAACAGCTGCAGATGCCGGGGCTGGTTTAGTTGATATCTTCGCTGTCTGTGAGATATCATTTGTGATATGCCTCTTGCATCTCTTTGCTTCTCGGAAGTCATCACCTTGGGCTGTCGATTTCACTCGGGTTTTGTTCACTACACCACTTTGTTCTGCCTCTGCACCCACCTTCAGGATAGCCTCAAGTTCATTCAGTGTTACCGTGTACATGCCAGAAAGAGCACTAAAAAGCAGCTTCCTACCTAGACCTTTACAAACTTTGCTTTGTTATCCTCTGCAGTATTCACAAGAGGTCCACTCAGAGCTTCCCCCCATTTTAACTGGCATGCATCCAGCAAGGTTCTCAGTTTCACTGAGTACTCTATATGAATGTTTATCAACAATCAATCATCTTTGAGCCGACTGTCTAGATAATGTAGGACCCTCAACGTCTCACAGCCCTATGGGCCTTCATGTCCTGGTAGAGGGATAGCTTTACTTTACTTTTTTTTATTACTCACAATGCAGTTTAATATCCATAGTCTGAAAAACAGAAATACAATAAGAGTTGAGTCTCTCCATGACAAAGAACCATTAATACAGACAGAGAGAGAGAGCTGCCCATATAGCAACATGCCACTCCCTTTCTTTGGTATAAAAAAAGGCACCGAAGAAAAGCGAAACCTACCACAAGACACTGCACATAATGCAAGAGGAAATGTATTAAGAGAAGGAATGGAAACCTCAGTTGTTTTTACTGTCAGAGCTCTAAACTTTCTGCACTCCTAACAACAGTATCTCAGTGCGAAGTTAACTAAACACTGCAGTCACATTGTTAGCCCTCCTACTTCATAACTGGAAGGTTCTTGGTTTAAATGTTTCACATGGAGGAAAGCTTAACAGAATTTCTGCAGTCTTTCCAAATGAACATTCATATTGTGACATGTTGAGCTATGGATCACCCCTACCTCCCCAGCGGTACGTGGCGGTAACGTAGCGCTCGCGTTACTACGGTAATAGGCGAGTTCCCGCCCCACCACTCCCCTCCGCGGTGACGTCACGAAGGGATATCGCGGTTGCTAGGCAGCAGTCAACAACTCCGGACAGCGCTGCTAGGATATATGCAAACACGGTGACGCGTCACCGCTTCCTACTGTGACGTGGCAACAGGCACCACTGCGGCTATATAAGGGAACTGCACAGCAGCTACGAGTTAGTTGTTATGTGGCTACGGCAGAGTTGTAAAGTAACAGTCGCCGAGTAGAGTTGTAACGTGGCCATCGCCGAAGATAGTTCCGAGCAAGCCTACGAGCAGTGTGTTATCAACAGTTCTCAAGGCAGCATCTTGCGAGCAGAGTTGGAATCTAGCCAGCGGCGTGTTATGAGTGAAAGTGTGTAATTCAGGGAGACTTGTATAGCTCCCGCGTTATTAATACGTGAAGACTCTTCAAGATAGTGTGAAGAGATTTTGTTGTAGGGTTTGCAAACTGTGGAAACCCGTAACATTGTTATCATTAATTGTAGCCGTTACTTGTAGATTGTTGAATAAACCAATTAACGATCTCTACGGCGTATTCAGTAACGTAAATATGTTACAATATATAAGCCTAACATTTGATGTCCATCGATGCATGTAGTTTTAAGAAGTACTGTCAAAGAAGAAATCAACATGTGTGAATCTTTCTTCATATATGGTATTCCTGAATTCAGTGCATAAACCCACTTTCTCCCCAGAGAAACATTAAATGGGGACTTCTGTATCTATCTTTCCCACTTCCCAAATTCCTGAGAATACAACAATTAAAATAGTAATAATTAAAAACATGTCCATAAAACATGCAGTAAAAAAGAAAACTTAAATCTGGATACCAATTTTTGCAGATTTCCAGCATGGATCAAAGTTAAAAAACTTAAATTAAGGAGAACATGCATGAAGCAAAAAGGAATAACTTAAAGGTTTCTCTTAATAATTCATTCTGGATAGGTTTTCCTCTACTTAATCACTTCAACAAATATTACTGTTTGAATAAAGATGGGGGGGGAGGAGATGAGAAAAAGTGGGGGGAATGATATATGTCAAATACAAATTTGCAGATACTATGCAGGTGTATTATATTTTTAAAAACTGGGAAGAGCAGGAGAGAAAATTTTCAAGTCTTATCATTCTGACAGCAATTTCAAAAACATGAATGGTTAATTCTTTCCCCAAACACTGCTCTACAAAGTTTTATGAAAATCACATTTTACACAGTATTTTATTAAACTTGTTTTTACTTAATTCAAGAGGCTTTCCAGTTATAGAGTCTTTATTGATGTAAACAGCTGGTGGATCTACATGCTGTTGATTGGTATAAAGACCTCCCCCAATAAAGACAATAATACACCAAAAGAAAGAAGAAAAAAAAAACTAAAATTTTCTGAGTATTATGCCAGACCAGGAAGCAGGTATCCTTATACAAAGGGAAATGTTTCATGAGATACCACGCCCTCAAACACTACTCATCTTCTAGCAAGATGAACACTCAAAATGGGACAAAAATCTGCTAGAGACTTTATGTTATTTAGTATGCAGAATACACACTGCAGTAGCTCCTGCTGTAAACTGCCTGGCTAATACAAGCAAACTGCCATGATATGGAAGGAACACTTTTAAAACATTCAGCATAAAAAGGATTAACAGTTTTACCATGAAAGACACATGGAAATGATATGGTGACAGTTCTTCTGGAACAACCCTCATATACATGTCATGTCTAAAAGGAACACACATCCATGCATCCACAACACCAACACAACTGCTTGAGCTAAGCATGCAATTCCACACCCATACACACCTCTCCCATGTCTGGTGGGGGATCAAAGGACTGTAGATGAATGGAACAGGATGTGGCTCCACCATCCTAAGATATGCAAGGAAGAAATACCCAGTGACAAGACAAGAATGGACAAATGAATCCTCAAAATTGCATTAAAAAAGATATGTTCTGTTAACACATAACATTTGTCTGCTATATACAGTGTGTCCCAGGGTGCCAGACTTCAGGAGGGTGTTTCTCATGTTAAAGTGTGGTCTTCTGGTGGGTCCACGCACTTTACCTGTCAGCTGACTAGTCTTATCGATGTTTGTCCTTTAGTGTGGTGATGATGGCTCACTTTAGCCCCCCACACTCGCATACCAGAACGCGCAGTCAGCAATGTTACGTCAGAGCTTGCCATTCATGTGTCATGTATAGTGCTTGGAACCCTAACGACAACTTTGACATAGCGTGCGAGTTTTTTTGTAGTTCAATTTAATGGCTTCATGTCACTCACAAGTTAGTTTGATGTTACGTACATTATTAACATTATAGAAACCACATATTCCTGCCACTTTTAATATGTATTTGGTAATCAACAAGTGTGTAACACCTGTCAAAGTTTCACACTTCTCTGGCCATTATCTCAGTAACCGTTCAACTTTGGACATAGGTATTTTGGGTTATATCGGCATACTTTAACATAAGGAACACCCTCCTGAAGTCTGGCACATTCCTCCTGGGACCCTGTATAAGCTCTTATACCAAGTTGATATAAATTTAAAAATTAGGTAAGTTTATTATTACTTCTGACAAAATAATCACATAGTATCTTTTCTAATAACTACCCAACTCTTCAGTGCATTTGCTCAACAGTTCACAAACTTCCTGAGTCTATTAGAAAAAATATTTATGGTTGGGCCATAAACCATTCCTGCATTGCTTCATTCCATCAATACTAGTCCACGTCTCTTGGATACTATGATTAACACACACACAAGTGCACATGCACACACAAAAGGGACCACTGACAGCTGTGTTTTGGCGCATTATATCAATGGGGCTGCCATGTTGTGCCTCCACTAACCACAAAAATGAAAACCATCTAAGTGCAAATGAGAGAGTGTTCATTCTATCTACATCTGCCACCTTTTTCAGTGTTGCCAAATCCCTTTAGATGTAAACTAAAACTGCCTTTAGTCTTCAATGCAACAGCAGTAGACTATACATCAATTCAGATGATACTCAAACACACTGTTGTGATTTTCTCAAAATAAGCGAATTTTATACAAATATATTGTATAAAACATATATTTAGGCCAATCAGTGTTTTGGGCTGAAAAACACATTAAATTGAGTCATGCAGTTGTACTTAATAGAAGTGCCAGACACTGAATCTGCTGAAAGTATGGACACTTTGGAGAGGTCTTGCATAACTGACTTGTAACACAGAGAACAACAGATATCAAATACACAATGCATTCAATGATAGAGGAAACCTGGCAGCAGTGTAGAGCGGACATAACATTTCTCATAAATTGCTGCTAGCAGAATAAGTCATTAGTGCTGATAAATATGTGCCATCAGGTTGTCTGAGCTTGTCACTGCAGCAAGTCACATTAATAGTCAGTCTTTGTTAGAGGTGTCAATAGGTGGTCGACATTTATACCGAACTTCATTACTGAACAGCATGTTTATTGCATAAACTTTTGCAAGGAAAGAAACTTACAGAAAATGTATCCGTAAGTTTTGTCGTAAATATCCTGACTCACCAGTTCCCACAAAATTGTGTGTATCCAAGCTTGTGAAAAAAGTGGCAGGCCACAGGTTCAGTGTGTGACATAAAGAAGCAATCAAAGAGGATTGTGCTGACTGAAGAAAGGTTTCGGGATATTGAGGCACAACTACAGATCAGTCCTCGAAATTTGTTAAGACGCTTAGCACAGGAAACCGATGTTTTGCTAGAATCTCCTTTCACAGCCAAAAAATTAATCAAAATTTGTCTGTATAATGTAACTGTTGTGCATGAGCTGAAACAACCAGATTATGCAGCAAGAATTCGCTTTTGAAACTGGCTGCTGCAAAATGTGCATGATGGCATAGCGGATCCACAGCTTCTGTTCGTGACTGATGAAGTGTGGTTTCACATTAGTAGCCATGCACAAAATGTAAGAACATGGAGCGATGAAAATCCTCATGCTATAAAGCAAGTTCCATTACATAGTGAAAAGGTCGGGGTGTGGTGTGCTGTAAAGTCCTTGGCGAATCATCGGCTTCTTTATTTTTTCATGAAAACGTGAACTCTGACTGCTACTGCTAATGACACTAGTGTAATAATTTCTAGTAAGAATTTAGATGATTTCTGTATGTCACTGAACAGTGTTCTCTCTCATATGAGTATATGGTTTGCTGCTAACAAACTGGTCCTGAATCTAGATAAAACAAATATAATAAAATTTATAACAAATAATACACCTCAATATCCATTAAGCATTGAATATAATAATAAATATATATAGAAGAGTCAGTACACACAACATTCCTTGGCTTACAAATTGATAACCACTTAAACTGGAAATACCATATCGATCAGTTGGTTCTGAAGTTAAGTGGGGCATGTTATGCAGTAAGAGCTTTACTACATGTCAGCAAAATTGATACACTGAAATCAGTTTATTTTGCCTACTCATCTGACAGCAAAATGGTATTTACATTTAAAACAAAAAATTGTTAAAATAATGGTGGGTGTAAAACCTCAAAATTCTTGTAGAGAGTTATTTAAGAGATTACAGATTTTAACTCTTCCATGTGAATATATATTTTCATTATTAAGCTTCATTATAAATAACCAAGAACGTTTTCAGACCAGTTTGGATGTACACAGTGTTAACACGAGAAACAAGCACCATCTCCACAGACCGGCTGCTAACCTCGCATGTTTTCAGAAAAGCGCATATTATTCTGACATTAAAATTTTCAACAATCTACCATCTAGTCTCAAAAGTTTACTGAATGAAAAGGCGCAATTTAAATTAGCACTGAAACGATACTTAATCACACACTCATTCTACTCTGTTGATGAATTCCTACTGTCTAAAAATGACTCGTCCTTTTAAAAGGTCATGTACGTAGCATAAGTTGACAGTACTGACTTATATATGTGGAGGTATTTTTTTGTTGTGTCTCACCTGTACTGTATTTATGGCTTTTGTATTTGTATGACTTGTTCTACATCCTACAGTCATTCTGACTTACTTTGGATCTACAGAATGTAATGTATGTATGTCATACTGTATCTGTTCTTCAATCAGCTGACTGCTGAAGAAAGACAATATTCATATTTTCGGCAAGACAACAGTACAGCACATACGGCTAAGGAAAACATGGCCACAATACGGAAAGTACTTGAAGACTGAATAATAAGCAGAGGACTGTGGCCTCCCTGATCCCCAGATCTCAGTTTTTGTGATTTTTATCTTTGGGGAAAAGTCTACAAGAACAATCCCTGTAGTACTGTAGCTCTGCAGAATAAAATAACAAGCATAACTGGTTCAATTACCATGGACCAACTTCAGAAAGTGTCGCATAATTTATTTATGTGATGTGAGGCACATCTTCAAGCAGAAAGGACTCACTTTCAGCACCTGTTATAAAGCATGATAAGTGTGTGTTTTTTTACAGTATTCTTATAAATGTGTGCATGTGAAGGAATCAGTGACATGACTGCACTCTCGCTAGTGGGGAATGGCACAGTAGTCGTGGAGAAACATTCAATCCGCTCTACACTGCTGTTAGGTTTCCTCTACGGCTGTATTGATGAAACTTACTGCAGTGACAAGATCAGACCACCTGATGGCGCACGTTTATCAGCGCTAATGACTCATGCTGCTATCGGAGGTTACAGCAGCAATCTGTAAGAAATGTTGTGTTTGCTCTACACTGCTGCCAGGTTTCCTCTATCATTGAACGCCCTGTATGTGTCATAACATCAGATACTGGTATGTTACACAGGGTGAGTCAGAAGTCCTTGTGCATCTACTGTAGACAATGAGTATATTCTGAGGCCCTGTACGTTAGTACAGATACATTTCTCACACTTACTTAAGTCACAATAAATAGAGGAAATGTGTGTAGACATGCATCTACACATCTTATCTTGTTTGCAAAGACACAACAATTCAATCAGAGGATGTTCCTAATAAAATTTGCAATGGTTTCCTGCAGTTCATGGACAGTGTGATGGCTGTCTTTGTAAACTGAGCCTTTCATTGCCTCTATGAATGATAAGGAGGGTGTGTAAGATTGGGCAACCATGAAATTTATTGTCCCCCAACAAACTGCACAGTAGCATCATGGAAACATGAGCTGTGTGTGTGCAGTAGCACCAACCTGTTGGCAAATACGTCCTCATTTAAATGTCCAATGAAGTTGTAAAGAATCACTGGACAATAATATTCTGAGTCAACAGTGTCATCAAAGAATAGGGGCTGATTATCCAGTTTTGTCATATGGCACACCACAATTCAACCTTCTTATTGTGTAATGGTGTATCCTTGATCTCATGTGGATTAGTTGCTGACCAAACATAGCTGTTCTGGCCATTGACATAACTGAAGAAATGAAATCATGCCTAATCAGTAAAATTGTGATGTCCAGAACATGGGACATTTCTTCTTTAATTGGACTATCAAGTAACCAAACCTTTACATCCATCTTGGTCTTCCCAAAGCCCCTCCTTACCAGTTTCTTCACTTGTCCATCTTTCCATCTGTGTAACACATTTTCAGTCATGTACCAGTCAATTGGCATGAAATTAAATTTTCCAGTAATATGAACAGATAAAGGTTTGCACATAAACTTCAACTTATTATGTCCATCTCAAAAATGTAGGAAAAACGAAGATCATCAATGTCAGAGAATTCTTCAACCTGCCAAGCAAAACTCCCCCCTCTTTTTAATATGCTTAAGCAACTCATATTCGGCATGAAAGCCCACGTCCTTACTTCTTGAAACTGTGAAATCTGAAAGCAGAACTAGGTTGATAATGTTCTTGCATATGGAGAAAGCACATCTGTTAAAGATTTTCAGCAAACATATGGACCTCACTGCAACATTGTGGGATGCTCTGCACCACTTCTTTCACCTTTAATGCCACATGTCAGGTTATTTTGAGAACGGTTTAGTTTCTTCACATTTGGGTTTAAAAATAAGCATGCAATAAGCATGGTTTGTATCAAAGTGTCTTTGTAATTTTGCTGAAATCACAGTACAGAATGCCAAAGTTTCATAATACATACAGAGAGTCAGGTACATTAGAATCACCAGTACATGTACATTGGAACTGGAGATAGCTGTCATTCTTGTTTCCCTTGGGGTATGCGGTAGCACAACTGGTTGAGGCACTATGCTACAAGCGGGTTTGATTCCCAATGAGGTCACTGATTTTTTGATTGACCTAATCCTTCCAGCCGCACTATGGCCCTGGCCTCTAACAGAAATGAGTACCAGGAATCTTCTTGGGGGTAAATAGCAGCCAGCATGTAGGGTTAAAAACCTCACTGATATCTGTCAGTTGACTGTGTAGAAAATGTGGACACCTCGATGTCTCACAATGCCATGAGCCCCATAAACTGTTACAGGGATAGTTTTTTATTTATATCTCCTTTGTAATCCCATATCTTAAGTACCTATAGCTCCTTTCACTGATAATATGAAGATGACCTTGGGCCATACTTTTTGGCACTATTTCCCTTGTTTGAAAATTACTGTAACAGTTTACAGGTATTCACAGAGTTTCATAGACTTCTCTTGCTTGGATCCTTGGTGTTGTCCTCACACTCTCCTTCTTCAGTGTTAAGCTGTCACAGACTCCCTGGTTGTTAGCTCGCAGGATCTCTGTATAAAGACTTGTTGCAGACTGACTACACAACACTGGCTCCAACTTCTACCTGACTATTGTGAGTGTATTCATTGGGGCAGATACATGTTTTACCATGACATACAGCAATGATTAATCCTGTGACATTTCTGTGATTCCAAGAATCTGCAGTTTCAGGACTGCAGCCATTCTGTCAAGACAGTTATAACTAATAGCACTAAACCTGATCAACAAATAACACCACAGTACTATAAGTCTAGACCATATGAACATTAGGTGCAAAGAGTCTGAATATTTCAGTTGCAGACTCAGGAGTTACACTGTCACCAACTTTAACAGCAAAAAAATATACCATATGCATACCAAAAGCACTTGCCATCAAACTGATCGAACATACATTGTCGCATTAAGACTACACTCAACAATGTCTGATACTTTCGTTTCCTCAAACAAGTATAGCATGCCTGAAGAGTGATAAAGCAAGAACAAAGCTGACTATATCAGTATGAAAGCATGGGCAATGCAAAAATTTGTTTGCCACCATTAGACTTTTCTTGTGAAACCCCTTACATCACCTTCGAGGAACATAGTTTGAAAAACAGTGATGCATTTTATAAAACACTGTTGCAGATAACATATGTAGAAACAAACCTACAAGTTAAAGATCAGAAAGCATATTTCTATGCAACCCCTAAACACTGCAACAAGCAATAATCTAATGTTTCTAAGACCTCAAAAAATTTGATACGTATACTACCTTGCTGGAAAATATCCACGACCCATGGAAACCCAACGTCGACCATTTGGAGAATTTGCAACAAGGTTTCCTCCTTTCTGCATAATCATCCTGTGAATGAAACGTAAAAGATGTCGTGAAACACTTAGAACACAGTATTGCATATGAGTCTGTAAAAGCTAATCAACACTAATGAACTGACACATCCTGTGACAGGCTACATCACTGCTAAGCACTTTTTTTGAATGAGTACCAATTCAGAAAAAATAAAAACGCTTAATAATGCTTAACATTTAAGTTTTAAATGTTTTTTTTTATTTTTTTATTTTAAAAATTGGGTGTGTTGCTTATTCGATGGTGCACGGTATTCGAGAAAATATAGTACACAGTTCTCAAATTACACAAGATACTATTATACATTATCATTGTTTATATTCATCATGATAACTGCGTAACTACAGCTTCTGTCCAAAGTGCTACTACACATTTATATCTGCTCTCCTCTTTGGAAAGTGTAGTATATGTCTCATATTTGGGCTTTAAAATCTGGAAATTTACAACCCAATACTTTTTATACAATAGCAGCTTTCGGGTTTGAATATTATTTGTTGAATGCAATGCATAATGCAGCTCAAACCCATAAGCTAATTATATTTACATACATATATATACTATATCAGGGATATGGAAATGTAAGAAGAAGAAGAAGAAGCAGAAGAAACTAACAAAATGTCTAGTAATGGACCAAATCTCTATCCCTGTTGGTCTTCATTGTGTTAATAGATTGGTAATGCTGCCTGGTGGCAGAAGACGCTCTTCTTCGGCAGATATAAAATATTACTCGTTACACTGATTCCAGTGAATGACAGCAAGGGTTACCTGTTTATAAATTAAGAAATATACAATTACACAACCCTCCTACACAAACATCATTATATACCTGTTTGTTTCATCATACATTCCAGGCACATGGGGTGAGAAGTAACTCATATTTTCATCGGCATCCTCCCCATTCAAGGAGTCATCACTGTGCAAAACGAGTTGTTCAAACTTTCCTGGACGACACCCGGCTCCCATTTGCCGTGGCAATGGAATTCCACGACCTCGCCCAAGGCCCCTGAAAATACATACAGAATCCCAAGAGATCTGAACATTTTGTGTTTCAGGCAGGTGTATGTTTAATATACACAGTGTGTCCAGGTTCTGTGTTCATTAAAAATATAAGACATGAATTATTTTCAAAATTTCACTCTTTTTATTCAAAATAGTCTCCTTTTGAATCAATACATAGTTTGAACTGATTGAAGTTTTCAAAAACAGTCACTGTACTCCTTTTGTGGAATCACATTTAAAACTGCAGTAGATTCCTTTTGGATATCCTGGATGGTGTTGTGATGGTCTCCTTTCATCGCCAACTTAACTTTTGGGAACAACCAGAAATCTGCTGGAGCCAAATCTGGTGAATACAGAGGATGATCAAGGACTGCGATCCCTTTTCCGGCCAAAAAATTGCACATGATCTTCGATGTGTGGGGTGGGGCATTGTTGTGGAGGAGTGACCAGGAACCTTGCTCTTGATATTGAGGTTGAATTTGAAGAATTCTCGCCCACAAACGATTGAGGACTCCGAGATAATAATCAGAATTCACTGTTTGACCTTCTGGCAGAAATTCCTTGTGAATGATTCCTTTGGAATTGAAGAAAACACGTTAGCAGTGTCTTTACTCGAATCCTTTGCATGGTTTCAGCTTCTTTGGGCTCAACCATGCTGCACTCTACCGCTTTGTGAGAGGCTCATATTGAAAACGCCATGTCTCGTCACCAGTAACAATCGATCTTGTAAATTTTCTCTCACTTTGGGCCAACCATAACGTCTTTGCAGTGTTCCACTCTGGCATGTTTTTCATTGCCTGACAACACGTGCGGTACAAACCGTGCAGACCTTCCATTTGCCTAAATCCTTGGTCAAAATTTGACGCACAGTACTTTTGGTATTCCCAAAAGCTCCTCGATGAGTCTTACAGAAACATATCTGTCTAATGCAAGGATTTTGGTCACTTTTTCACATTTTCTTCAGTGCGACTTGTTCTTGGCTTTGATGCACGTGGAGTGTCCTCAAGGTCCTCCCTGCCATCACGAAATGCAGCATACCATCGAAAATGTTCAAGCGACTCAAACAATCACTGCAGTACACACTTTTCATCATTTTGTATGCTTCTCTGGCTATTTTGCCTATCTTCAAACAAAATCTGATGTTGGCTCTCTGTCCAACCGCCATTTTCTGACGAGCTTCAGAACAGTACTGTTACATTCAAGGTCAGAACACATGATGCAGTGATGTTTGCACTTTGAAATTATTGACAGCCACAGCTGAAACTTAACGCCACAACTTGCCAACAGATGGCATTGTAGGGCAAAATTAAAAAAGAAAAGAAAAGAGTTCTAATGGATCCTGGACACACAGAGTACGCACTTCCTTTCATATAAAAAAACAGTGCACAATACACACCTCATCTGTCTGATCCAAATCACAAGTCACAAATAAATGCTGCATATATACATTAGGCTGTCACTGAGCAATACATATTTTCAGTATTTTCAGTTGTTTACTGTACCTTTTTCAGGAGTGCATTAAAGAATTATGCACAAATTTTGCCAGCAGTTATACTTCCTTCTTTCTAATTTGTAAGAGGAACACTGTTATTACAGATAAATTACAGGAATAACAGCAGGAAACAAAACTAAATGAGAAGAAAATAAATGTTAAATCATTTCATTTTCTGTTGAACTCCTTTTTCTTTTCTACCTTTATGCTAAACAGTATCTGCTTTTCAGGCATAATTTTACACTAACATTATTTCAATATTAACAGAACTTGACACTTTTGATCAAGAAAAGTTTCCAGTTAATCCAGGTTAAACTTTATTATTAATATAAATGAAGGCCAAAACTGATCTTGCAGCCCCGATCATATTCTATGATACATATGTAATGGCCGTCTTGTAGTGCACTCAATTTCATATGTCGCTTCTTACTACATGTTTCGGCAACATAGTGCCATCTTTGGGTTCATTATTTATGCTAAGTTATTACATTGTTTGCCATCTTGTGTCTTTCATAAAATTATTTAGAAAGTACATTATTCGTCAACTATAATAAAATTTGTATATACTAAAACTTAAGATTTTTCATTTATATGTCTAAATTCAAACTTGCGTATAGTATGGTTCATCCACTATGGGAGTCCTTTCTGTATGTACTGTGTCTGTGATGTGTCCTTCCTTTTTGGCTGTAAGCCATATTCTATGATTTTATTACAGAGAACCGATGGTATCTGGTATCGTGAAGAGAAAGCAATCACTGAACAATGAAATACAAGCAAAGTTGGTAAAGGAATTACCTTTTTGAAAAATATATCTAATCCTCATTTCATCAGCATGGCAAGTTCGAAGGACATTACCTAATTAAATGACAACTATACAGGGTAAAACTGAAGTTTGAAGCTTCAGTGTTTAGCGCTCCTACTTCACCTTTGGGAGATCGTGTTCAATTCGTAACGCAGAGGCCAACTATGTCAAGGGTGTGCTCATTCCTCAAGGAAATTGTTGGCAGCATATGCTAACAGGCTGCTCCTACTTCTATTACATCCTTTCAACATTTCATTTAAAAGAAATCTACTTGAGACACTATAAATGAATAAACTAAGTACATTATACACTGTAAAGCTGTTTCTGATAAGTAGACAGATATTCAGGTGATCAATCACAGGGTATGCTTACATATTTCGAGTACATGTTTGACAAGGACAAATGGAACCCTTTCGGAATGGTACAAATACAAAACTCCAATCAACATATTTTTCATATGAATATTCAACAAGAGTGTCAAGCTGTATTCCTACGGAATACACATACCTTTCAAATGTGCACCTAGCATTTTTAAATGCCCCACTGGCCTTGATGTTCATTATTGTAAACACAAATGTACTATTTAAAGACTAAACACACTACAGATACAACACTCAACAGCCAGAAATTATTTTCTTTTGTAGTTTGTAAGCCCTAAAAGTGCCTGGTGTGAAAATCTTCAACTTTACAGAGGTGTAGGAATTAAAGCTAGCATCTGTGAAGTTAAATATCCGAAAAAAATTTCTACTGGAATTTGTAATCTTCAACAGATCTCAATTTTATGTCATGCTCTGAATTCTTTGCATGATGAACCATTTTTTACAAATCAGTACAATTCAATTTGAGCTTCATACAAAGCAGGAGTTATACTGGGTTGATATGAAGCAAACTAAATTACAGCGCTAACTTCTCCAGCATCAAATTTAGTAAAAATCTGCTAATCAGATTCACAGATCAGATAAAGAGAGTCTCCTGTACATGCACTACCTCCATGAAAAGAACAAAAAAATTCAATATCCTTAGTACTTAAGTGAACACCAAATCAAAGAGGTGAGTGTCAGCAAAACAACAAACACAATCATACAAGGTTTCCTAGCGGGATCATAACTAGAAAAGTGCAAGGATAGGTATTTACATTACCTGTTGAAGGGAACAAATGGAATTCTTTCAGACTGCACTGGATAAGGTTCTGAATCCAAAACTCTTCTCAATAATTCATCATCTTCTCGTTCTTTACGAATGCGTTCTTTCTCAGCTGCACTGCGGGCAAACTGCACTCTAAAGTAAAATGGTGGTGCATTGTTCAGTTCTCGGATAGCAAGTTCTGCCTCCCTAGAAAATGAAACAAATACAAAACATTTGATATACAGTACAGTAGAAGTATTTATGAGCGTCCTTCCTTGATGCAGTGAATAAGTTGTAACCTGAGTAATGGGATGCACTTTGTCAATCAACTCCATTTTTGGGAAACTGGCTTTAAGTGCAGTTAAAATGTGACTTAGAACAAAACACATTCTTAAATTTCACACTTTAAAGTTAAACCTATGAAGTATGTGGAGATGGTGCAACACAAAACAGAGAATCAGAAAAGTGCAATACCTGAGTTTGGTCAGACAGTGGAAATAAAATATTCCAGTACTCTCCAGGAATATGATGGCATACACTTCTACCAGACAACATGGCAACATATTCCAAAAGATATTAACCCCCAAGAAACAGTAATCTATTTCCTCCATTTATCAGAGCAGCAACTACTCTTCATACTCACCACTGTGAGAACCTCAAATATAACGTGTATTCACATCTGCCCTTGTGGTTCTCCCTTCCATCTGTACCAACTGCACTTGCAGTGTTTCTTTCAAAGTTCTTTATGGCTAGCAGTCTGTAACTTCTACACTGAGCAGGTTGCCCCTGCCAAGCTTCAAACACTGAGACATGCTATTTTCACTGCCGATGCTCTAATACCCAAATTACAGCAGGATAACTGTTATGTCAGTACTGGGTAAAATGAAAAGAAACAGAGACTCTTTACTCTTCAGCTAGCAATTAACTGAACGGATTTCTAATTGCTTTCAAGGTATCACGTATACAGGACTGGGATAAGTCATATCTACATATTCACATGCCTTTTCAATGGCGTTAAAATGGTATTTGCCTTAATATTTCATCATGATTAGTTAAGTTTACCAAAGAAAATTATCACTAAGTAATACAAATATAGCCAGATAAAAAAAAAGCTTTATATATATATATATATATCTTCCAGGACTGCAATACTGCAACAGTCAAAATAGGTATACGTGCACTGTTATGTAATTTATTTATGTTACCTCTGAGTTGCATATGAAACAAATGCCCAACCAGGACCATAACCTGGAGGATGCCTGTATACATCCAATGGATCTCCAAAATTCAGGAAAACATTTATAATACCATTCTGGAAGGAAAGAAACATAATGCAGTACTAATTACATTACATTATAATACATTACAATCAGTAATTATAACAGTACCCAAAATTGCAATGTCCATCTGTCTCCACAGCGTATCCCTTATAAGGGCCATTTTGTATCCATTTCTCCCCACTGGCTAAGAGCAAGTTCCTTTTCTTTACTCTCTCTCCTTTGGTTTCATTATCACCTTCCTTGTAGCATCCTTATATAACTAAGCCTATTTCTGAACCTATAGACTTCAGCCCTGAAGATGGAGGGAGCATGCTCCTCCAAGACATTGGTACCCACCTACAAAACTATACACAGCCCACGAGACCATGATCTTAAATAACAGAAATTGATGATTAATTTCTGTGCACAATTTAAAATTACACAGATTCCAAAAACATTAATCTGCACACCTTCAATGTGTTTCAAATTGTTAACATGGGGTGGGGAGTCATGCAGAATCTAAGAGTTATATTTATTATTTAGCATGTTACAAATGGCCACCATGCATTACATTTATACAAAATTTACCTTAAAAACAGTAAATTTTCTGAACTCTGTTGCCAAAAAAATTTCAGTACCATGTCATTACCATAGCTAATGTCATCCTCAAACTTCAGCAGTATGCATGGCCACGGGCATTCAATACACAAGGGGAGAGAGATGGCCTTTAATGGCATGCTGTTCATATAAAATACCATGAAATCTACCAGGAAAGTTATTGGATGGGAAAGACACATTGAAATGCTAATACCATATGTCTATATCATTCCACACGCAGAAAAGTGTTGTATTGGCGAGATAAAAGCTATGAAATTAGTTTCAGGCTATCATAGCAAAGAATTGTCACGCAGTAACTCTGTATATGATCACAAGTTAGACATGTGTGAGCAGTACTGTGTATATTCTGTGAGTACTGGTTATATTTTGTTGTGGATATGTGATATGTAGACCTGCTGCTAGGCAATGACCATGAAAGAAGCAGCTATACGTGGTCTGTCCAAAAAAAAAAAAACCGAACTTTCTTTTTAAAACATTTATTGATAAGTTTACAACTTAATAAGACTTGTCTCCTTCAAAGGACTCCCCTCCACTGTCTATACACTGCTTCGAACGTTTTTTCCAATTCTGGAACGCATTTTGCAATTTTCTTCNATAATAATAATAATAATAATAATAAAAAGATCAACACCACCTCCATGTTTGCTTTTTTTTTTGTTGCAGTGACAATTTTTCCACCCACCGTGACAATTGAGCTTTTGTTTTGATATGGTACCCATACACCCATGTTTCATCACCTGCTACATTTTTCAGAAACTTTTTGGCAGCATTTGATTGATCAAACAGCTGACCGTGACATGGTTCACTTTTTGCTCATCTATCAAAAGATGTGGCACAAATTTCGCAGCAACACAATGCATCTCCAGTTTTACAGTCAAAATTGTGTGGCATGAACTTTTACTGAAGCCTACTTCTTCAGAAACTTCACGGACAGTTAGGCGGCGATTTTCACGAATCACAGCACGCACTTTCTCAACATGATCATTGTCCGTTGATGTGGAAGGCTGTCCAGGTTTGGAATCGTTTTCGGTGGACGTGCTACCAGATCTGAAACTTTGGTACCATTTGCTAAATTGTGTACAGCTTAAACAATCCTCTCCATAAGCTTGCTTCAACATCTGAAAAGTTTCTGTAAAACTTTTTGCCAATTTGAAACAGAATTCCACACAAACACATTGCTCTTCAAGGTCCTTCATCTTTCAACTTGCAAAAATCGCAAAAGGCACAAGAGACAGGTTCACTCTACTGCATGTACTCGATGACTAACTGATGTGGCGTGATCAGGCAGGTGTCAGGTTAAAGCTTAAGGTCACTGCTACACAGCGCCACTGTTGCGAGTCACCTGTGTTGGTTCATTGGCCAACATTTAACAAGTTCAGTTTCTTTTTGGACAGACCACATACAACAGCAGTGGCTAAGTAAGAGCTTCGCAAACAAGCAGTTTCCATGGGAAGAATGGCACAGCAATAATGGAATGGTGTTTTCTTTGCGGTCCGTGGTGATATGTTATCAGCAGGACAGTTAGTGAGAGTCAGCTAAGTTGAGTTAGTTGGTGAGTGACTGAGTTGGTCAGTCAGTCAGTCAGCTCAAGAACTGCTGAGGTTTGGTAATTGTGAGCTATTGGTGTTAACAGCTGCTAGTTGAGGCCAGGGATAGTTTCAGAACCTAGAAGAAGGGGAACATCTGCCATGGCAAGCTGTGAGCCAGCTGTGGCAAGAAGACAGGACTGGTAACATGGGTGTGTGTGTGTGTCTGTGCATGCGTGCTCACGTGCGTGTAATAGTGAACTGCTGCGTGTAGTCATGTGCTGCATCAAAGAGTCTAATAAATTCAATCACCAATCCAAAACCTGTTTGTAGTCACTCATATGTGTGACAATATATTGAAAACCCAGACATAATAACTCCAGCCACCTATACAAACCTAAACTATCACACATTAACTTATTAACAGACTACACACTATATAATATACAAAACAGCAAAACTAACAAAGATGAAAACTACAAACAACATTTTATATAATAACTAATACAGACATGGCCAAGTCATAAATCTCCCAGAAAGATCTCTCACCACAAACAAACATCAACACTCAAAAAACAAAGTAGGCCAAATACAAAGAAAAAGAAATGAGGACATTGACAATACTGTTTCAAGTTGCAAACATAAAAACAGCATTTCACATGAAAAACAACAGGAAATATTTTATAAGGGGCAGTCAAATGAAAACAGGTCACCACGTATAACTCACATCGCACGCAAGTTGGTAACACTGGAATTTGCTTATGGTATGAACATCTGGTGGGGACTTACGAAAGCACAGTGACGTGCCATTGCATACTAGTTGTCTGTTTACTGTGCTGGAAGTAAGGTTTGCACTATGTGTGGTCGTCCAACATCAGTAATGGAGGTGGGCAAAGAAGAACAACCAAGTGTGGTGCGCTTTTTGACTGCTGAAGGAGTAGGAGGACTATAAATTCATCGTTGCATGTTTGTTGTTTATGGCGAACACAGAATGTCACTTTCGTGTGTGCTGGCGTGGCATAAGAGATTCTGGGAGGGACATGTGTCACTGCAAGATGATGCTCGCCCAGGACAGGCTCACCGTGTCATCACTCCTGATGTTATTGCTGCATTGGATGGTCATCTCCGAGCAAACTGATGGATCACTGTGGAAGAAATTAGAATTTTGATGGGAATAAGCCACGGTTCCGTACACGCCACTGTGACAAAACACCTGCTGTACCGCAAAATCTGCGTGCAGTGGGTTCCACATCAACTCATGGAGGAACAGAAGACTCACAGAATGGCTGCATCACTGGGTCACTTGCAATGATACCATGAGGAAGAATATGCTTTTCTGTCCTGTATTGCCACTTGGGACGAAACTTGGTGCCACCATTTTCAACCTGAGAGCAAATGGCAGAGCCAACAGTGGAAACACATGAATTCTCCGCTACTGAAGAAATCCAAAGCTGTACACACAAGTTCTCGTAAAGTGATGATGTTCTTCTTCGACTGCAAGGGCCTTTGCTTGTCAAATTTCTCAAGCATGGGGCCAGAATCAGTGCACAGCACTATGAAGAAACTTTGCAGAAACTGAGAGGTGCCAATAAAGTCAAAATGCCCTGGAATGCTATCGAGCGGCATTATTCTTCTTCATTATAATGAGCGTCCCTACACTGCCAACTCTGTGAGGAATACGCTACAGAGATTTGGTTGGGAAGTGCTTCAACATCCCCCTTACAGTCCAGATCTCTTCCCATGTGATTTTCACATTTTTGGAGACCTGAAGAGAGACATTTGTGGACATCAGTTTGCATTGGACAAAGATGTGTGTGGTTGGGTAAAAATGTGGTTCCGCAGACAGCCCACAAGCTTTTTCAAGGATGGGATTGACCGTCTTATCTCCCAGTAGGTTAAAGTATTAACCGTTTAGAAGATTACTTTTGAGGTAAGAAATGTTCTTTAATATGTTTTGGCAATGTATGAGTATACAAATTATTGCACCTAAACTGTCCATTAAGATATACCGAACAGGATGACACCAGGTACAGAAAGCATATCCAAGCAGTATAATAACAGAACTCCAGATACTTCGCCTTCACAAACAAACATGTTCCCATGGCAACAATAGAGAAACTGCTGAAAACAATGTTTCTTACATGGTCCGTGCAAAGATGTTATAAGCAGGATAACTGGAGCTCATTAACATGTTTAACATGTAAACTGTAAATATCCTTTATATTATGACAAGTGACTTGCTACTGCAGACAATGATTCTGACAAAGGACACTCCCGTCCTCTCATTAGAGAGGGCGCCCCACAATAACAAGACCGAAACTGTCAAATAGTAATAAATATCTGGTCATAAGCCTCAGATTGGGCTCGATACCAAGACTGACAGACTGAACGACCGTTAGTAGCAATGTGACTTTGAAGTTATCATTAGTTGTGGTGTATTAGCCAGTGGGCAATGTAGTTGGTTGAGGCACTATGCTACAAGCCAGAAGGTTGTGGAATCAAATCCCACTGAGGTGGATCTTTTCAATTTACCTAATCCTTCCAGCCACACTATGGCCCTGGGGTTGACTCAGCCTCTAATAGAAATGAGTACTAGGAATATTCTTGGGGGTAAAGGGTGGCCAGCGCGTAGGGCTGATAACCTTACTGCCATCTGTGAGCTGAATGTCTAGAAAATGTGGGAACCTCAACATTTCACAACCCTATGGGCCTCCATGACCTGTTACAGGGATACCTTTACTTTTTACTTACAGTTAATTATGAATCCACATCAGTTTAGAATACTGCCTTGAGTCCAAACTGGTGGTCTGAGAAGTGGAGTTCCAATTGTTGCATTCAAAACAAACTTCAGAGGAATACAATTCTACCCAAACAACCAAACTATAATTTGTCATATTACATGCTATCATCACAACCGTTTAGAACTAAATCACTGCAAGAGTGGTGTAAAAGACAGAACCAACAATTAAATGGTTAAACCACATGCGACAGGCTACAACAATGTAGAATTTACTTATAAAGATATGGAAGGTTTCCTTTCTACTCAAAACAAAGCGAGGATGTCCATACAGACTATGTAAGATTTGAGGCTTTCACGGCGGTGACTATGAAGAAAGCAGTCTTCTGGGATTTGGCACCGTGTATATGTGGTGTTAACCGATGTTTCGGAGGAACGTATCGCCCCCATCTTCAGGGTAGAAGAAAAAGTATAAGAAATCTGCAAGCGACAACACCGTGAGAAACGGTAAAGCAGACTGCAGTAAAGCAGTCTTCTACCCTGAAGATGGGGGCGATACGTTCCTCCGAAACGTCGGTTAACACCACATATACACGGTGCCAAATCCCAGAAGACTGCTTTCTGCATACAGACTAGTTCAGTAAAATATGTCTGCCTGCACTGTTAAGTTCTTCTTCACTGACACCATTACTTCCAGGGCACAAAATTGATATATTGATGAAAAGCGTAGAATCAACAATGCCATCTTTCCTGACATTTCCTTAATTAGTGATGCAATGCCATAAGTTTCTTTTGTACAGAAACAATGTTACAGTCTAAATGCACATGACTCATGCCCCCCCTCCACAAACAACTCTAAATTTCACTCTCTTCTAAATAATTATATTTGAAGTTGTGTTTATATTACTTCTAATAAGGAATGACTTTCTTTGGAATCATGAAGCTTATAACAGATAGAATTCTTGTACTAGTATTTTCATTTTACCAGTGATTTCAACAGGCTGTTCTCTAGTTTCTTGATAAAATATGGATGAAAGCTGAAATTCAATTACCTCAGATAACTGGGCAGGAATGTTCATTACATGTAATTTGAACACGGAATTTTCTCTTTCCAATCTGAAAATAAGAACACCCTTTGACAATAAATTGAAAACAATCATAACTGAATTTACAGCTGTTTACTCTTCCTATTGTCAGTGACCTGATTAAGCCATTAAGGAAGTTCATAGTACAAACATCATGACTTAACTCTCTGCTTCTAATATATCAGTAACACATTAAAAGTCTGAAATTAAAATGGTCTTCTCCTTCTGTGAGTAATGCAGCAAAACAATAAAACCTTATCGAAAATGTAAATACTTGAAAAATACTTTCTCTCAGCATCAAGCTTTAGCATTTTAAATGACATAAATTAAGTGCTAAACTTGCTGGTGTTCGAGGAGTTGGGTCTCTTAACGTATTTATGTGAACCACCTCAAAAGTGATGATCCTGACTTTTCTCTGTGAAATCATATTACAACTCATGTGCTTCAGACAAGGACAGCTTAAAGTATAGCTGCCTGTGCTTGATTAAGCACATGCCATAAAAATGGATGAGAGTGGAGGCACAGCTCCAAGTATTTTTAACCTGAGCACCAGATGGGAGTGACTGGACAGCTTCATGCCTCCTGCTGTTTTACACCTAGAATACAGCTCTCAGCACCCACTGGAGAGAATGCTCTGTGGGCATATCTACAGAAACTCCCAAATGGTATATCTCAAGATTAGAGCACTCTTCAAAATGAATTACACATAATGTCAAAACAGAACAAAAAGTTCATTAAACCATATTCAGAATGAACCTATACTATATATCTGAACTTTTTGTCAGAACCAAACAAATGACAACCATATTGCTTTTAACCAAAGTGTACAAAGGTCAGAGCTCCTCTAGTGTAGATATATGCTACTCTAGCAGGAACATTTCAACTCATGCACTCTAACCTTTAATTACCGTATTTACGCATGTATAGGCCGCACATTTTTTGCCAAAAATTCAAGAGGAAAACTGGGGTGCGGCTTATGTTCAAAATCACACTTCATTTAAAAAAAAATTATGTTCATAATTAGTATTGTCGCGTATTGGGCGTATATCGCGACAAACAACTTCACGCCGTATTTTATATAGCGAATTTTATTTCACATTCGCACCTACAATCACCCAAATTACAGATTTACGATTACTGCTATCTGCAGTATCACAAATAGTGCACTCCAAATGCCACAAGACAACCGACTAGTTGCTGGCTAACTCGGAACTAACTCGGAGGTAGCTCGAGGACTCACTCGGCGGTAGCTCCAGGACTCCAGGACTAACTGACTGACTGGCCATGAACAGCCTTCGCTGCTCCTTATGTAGCCTTGATCGGACAATTGTCGTCTGGTGCCATGTTGCTAGCCACGCTGTCCGGAGTTGTTGACTGCTGCCTAGCAACCGCGATATCCCTCGGTGACGTCACCGCTGTTGATTCGCTTTGCATAGCTTCAAGGTCGCGGGGACTCAGCTAACGTCGGCTCTGCTCGGCTCACTTCGGCTCCGCTCGTGATGTCACCGCGCGTTGTGCGTTGCATAGCTACCAGAATGCGGGGTGATTACTCGCCTATTACTCGAGCGCTACGTTACCGCTACGTGCAGCTGGGGAGGGAGGGGTCAACATGTCACACTATAATAATTTCTACTCCTGAAATAATATTCCAAGAAAATTATTTTTTCTATAATTTCTGTCCGAAAATTGTGCTGCGGCCTATACACGCACGCGGCCTATACATGCGTAAATACGGTAGCTAAGCAATGTGTCAGAAGATAGCTTTTAAACCAATTTTCAACTAACTGAGAATAAAATATATCATGAAGAAAAAGGAGTCTAGCTTACAGGTTAAAGTAACTGTAAACATAAACATGAATTGCCTTTACTGTCACATCAAATGTGAACAGAAACAATTACGACTACTGACTATAAGCCACAAAGATAATGGCACTCAGTGTGGCAAAGCAAATGAAAGGCCTGATATCGGAGTCTTCAGGGGACATTTTTTTGGCAGAATGTTCTTATGAACATTCATCAGATGATGATTTCCCCCATATATCAGGCAGAAATACTCCTCACCTTCTGTCCTGTAATGACTCTGTATGTTTTTACTTATTCATGACTAGAAGATTTTTCTATTTGGATCTGTAACATCCTGAAAATTATGCCACAATCTTCCTCTTACTCCTACACAACTACTTTTCACACAGGCATCATATATCAGTACTTGTCCCAGTATGCATCTTGCACAAGGCATCTTTATATAAGAATAACATGACTGATGCAATAATGCCTAAGATTATGGCTAGCAGACATGTAACTCATCAGTCTGCTTCACAGTAATTGCTCAGCAACTTCTTCGGGCAACCATGAAGAGAAAGTGAAATGCATATACAAACTTGTTTCATATTCACTCTTTATCAGCACAAATCTGCATGGTCCAAACTGAAGCAAGGGTCATCTGCCTCTCACTCCTCAGTGACCAAATGATTTTCAATTAACCTTTAAGTGCTGTATAGTACAAAGTTTACCCAAATGTTTCATCCAGATACTGTGACATAGGCTAACCAGACCAAATAATCAGAATCATCTTATGGCAGCATGAAACCTAAGCCTGTACATATGTACCTGGTGTAGCAAGGTTGCAATTGGCGATCCAGTCTTGAACCTGGACCATGAGCATAATTATTAAAATTGGGATCATAATAATCAGTACTCATTGGGTCCCAGTCTGGAGCTTCATGCTGAAGTAGAGAACGTTTTGCCATTGTGTACAGAGATGCGCAGTTCCTGAAATGTGAACATAAAATAATAATCAGTACTCATTGGGTCCCAGTCTGGAGCTTCATCCTGAAGTAGAGAACGTTTTGCCATTGTGTACAGAGAAGCGCAGTTCCTGAAATGTGAACATAAAATAATAATCAGTACTCATTGGGTCCCAGTCTGGAGCTTCATGCTGAAGTACAGAACGTTTTGCCATTGTGTACAGAGAAGTGCAGTTCCTGAAATGTGAACATAAAATAATAATCAGTACTCATTGGGTCCCAGTCTGGAGCTTCATGCTGAAGTACAGAACGTTTTGCCATTGTGTACAGAGAAGTGCAGTTCCTGAAATGTGAACATAAAATAATAATCAGTACTCATTGGGTCCCAGTCTGGAGCTTCATGCTGAAGTACAGAATGTTTTGCCATTGTGTACAGAGAAGTGCAGTTCTTGAAATGTGAATATAAAAGCAGTAAGCACAGAACGCTTTAATTCATACATTAGCAGCAACAACAAAAACAGAGGAGCATGCTGATTCAAGTGCATTTCCTTCTTATTTCATGATCCTGTCAGAATCTACGCTATATCAACTTAAAAATTGGAAAGGATCTGAAAGGAAGTAACTGTAGCCTAATCAAGGTACTATCCTAGCATTTGCCTGGAGGTACTGGGAAAGCCATGAAAAGCCTCAGTTGGAGTTCTGGCTGAGATCTGAACTGAGCACCTACTGAAGGCAAGTTCAAAGCATTACTGCTACACCAATCCACTTGTATTCAAGTGGCAATGCTTCTCACTTATATTCAGGAAGTGCCTAACTCTAGTTTGAAGCTGCCATCTATCCTTACCGAAAGAAGATTCTGAGTTATAACACTATAGGTATAGTTCTGCAAGTGGTTATCAATATTTCAAAGGAATCAACTGCCCCATCTTCAGTGCCTGTCCTGAAGAGAGAGGTAGTAGCATGCCATGAGGCCAGCTGGGACCAGTAGTGGAGGTTTGCCTGTCTGTATTGGTAGATGAAGGCAGCTGGATGCTCTGCCACAAGTAAGCCAAGAGAAGGCACCCAAGATCAAGAGTAACAGGTCCATTTGCTATATACAGGAAATTAGAGCTTGCTGAAAGTGCCAATCACAGATGGAGGATATCTGCAAGCAGGCACCACTGTTGAGGGACTTCACCAGCTGCTGGAGTGTTGGCATCGAGCTCAACATGACTGTGGAAGGGGAAGCTGTCCCTATCTTCCTTGGCACTTTTCTGTCAGAAGGGGTGGTACATATTATATGTGCCTAACAAAGAGCTAAAGAATGGGACAAATCTAAAGCTCTAANAGCATGCCATGAGGCCAGCTGGGACCAGTAGTGGAGGTTTGCCTGTCTGTATTGGTAGATGAAGGCAGCTGGATGCTCTGCCACAAGTAAGCCAAGAGAAGGCACCCAAGATCAAGAGTAACAGGTCCATTTGCTAAGGGAGGGATCTGGCTTGCCCTGGGAATGAATGACGCCTCGGTCAAAGTTCTCACAGCTCAGAATTTCAAGTCATTTTACAAAATGCAAAGGTAGCATTTCAACTGGATGGATAAAAAAGGAGGCTAGGGCATCTCATAAACTTGGTCTCTGACATTAAGGGAGGAACATAGACTGAGGGTGTTTGAGAACAGGGTGTTGAGGAGAATATTTGGACCGAAGAGGGATGAAGTGACAGGAGATTGGAGAAAACTACATAATGAGGAGCTTCATAATTTGTGCTATTCTCCAAGTATAATTAGAATGATCAAGTCAAGGAGGATGAGGTGGGCAGGTCATGTAGCACGAATGGGGGAGACGAGGAATGTGTATAGGATATTGGTGGGAAAGCCAGAAGGAAAGGGGCCACTGGGACCTTCGGGTTACATAAAATGCTGGGAAATTCTTGAGTAGCTGCAGAATTGGTGGCTCCTCAAGAAGGGCTCAGCTCCATGAGTAAGTAAGTAAGAGCATCTCATATGAATACAGGTATGCGACTTTTCTTTCTGCAGGTTATTTGCAATGGAGCGAAGTGCCTACTTACGTACTGAGTGGAAGGCTAACTGTGGAACACACAAATATACCCTAATACAGGCACCATGGGCCTTTAGAAGCAGGATAAAAAGTTTAGAAGGCTGTCAAGGTTCACTGTTTTACTGCACCTCTGCAGAATAATCCAGGATGTGTTTCTACCCCTCAGGTATAGATGCTACACCAATTCCACTTCTCTGTAGCATGGATGTGGTGGCAGTCCTTGAGACATTTAAGGCCATAGCAGAATGGTTGTGGTGTGTTCAGCATTGTTGCACTGTGACTCAGTGGATCCTCCACTGTCTAAGCAGATGATGAAGTCATTAATTATTGCAGGGAAAGGTGCCTGGCCCTAGTTCTGGGATGCAATTCTAACTCCCACTGAGCTGTGTGACAAATTCTAGAGGTAGGGTACTACAGATTAATTTTTTTTCACTTAGTGAAGGGTGAAGTCCAACTGGGTCCACTCGGGAAGGCGGCAACTGATTGGCCTATTGTAGCCTGCCCAGGGTGATTATGATGATGGAGAATTTGGTGGAATGAAGATTGGCAGGGGAAACTTAAGGGGAAAACCGGCCCCAGCGCCATTTTTTCCATCACAAATCCCACTTGACCAGACCCGGGATCGAACCTGGGCCGCAGCGGTGGGAAGTCAGCGACTAACCGCTTCAGCTATGGCATGGCCTACAGATTCAGTTACTAAATCAAGGAGAGGAGCCTACCTTCTTCAATGTGGGAAGGCAAGAAACTACTGACATAACACGACTGCATATAATTAAAAGGGGAAAAACTCCAAAAAGTAAATGGGAAAAATGGTGCATTTGGAGGTATGTAAAAATACCTGCATTAGTGAAAAATATAGTGTGTCAGTGTTTGCTTTGTCTTTGACAGCTAAATCACCCAACCATTCACTACTACTTTTGGTCAACTAAAGTAAAGGATCTCTGTTTTACAGTGGTGAGCTGGACTATGATAATTATGATATTCTGTTGCCAGATGAGGAACAAGAAAGGGCACGTATTTCTGATAAAGTCTTTTTTCTGTAGACAATCGGCCAAAAACATTTTCTCTAGACTGCAACACTGCTTAGTGCATATTATTATTCTAATGCACACTGTTTGTGGAGTAGCACTGCTTCCTGTGTAGGTACACCACCATAAGTTAAATTTATAACAGACCTTTTGCATCCTTATAGTAACTCCTAAAACTGGACTCCTATCCAACCTTATAAATATACTTTGTATGAACAATGGTAATATGTATACAGCTTTCTGAATGCAACAGTCTAGTGATATTTTCTCTCATACACTCTACAGCAAAAACACACACACACAAAATGATAACAGAGAACCAAAATTGAAAACTTCGATCAGTACGAAAACAAAGTACAGTTAAACAGAATAAATATATAAAAAACAACAGTCTTTGAACTCTGACCCTAATGAAGAAAGGAGCACTAATTTTTATTTTAAAAGATTCTGAATTTGGGAATTTTAACTTTATTACTAACTTCCACAATTATGAAGCTCACAGTGCACCAGCTTGAAAAATAAAACAATAAAGGTACTTGACAATTAAAATAATGACTGAAATATGCTGTACTGAAAGCATCACAATATCCAGTGCCACTGTGGTCAATTAATGAAACCACAATCAAAAAGATGTCACTGAATGATGGGTACAAAAAATGGTGTACATAATATCATTAACATAACGGTATGCTGCAATACAGAACTTGTGTGAGCAAGTTGTGAAAACCAATCATTCATGATTTAAGGGGCAGTCCAAGTTAATATTCCCAGAAACAGAGTACGACCAAACACAATAAAAATATCTGCTACAACTTCTTTGGTGCCATCAACATCTGTTACCAACTTGTAAAGATATGAACTTCAAATATTCTTAAGACCAGGTTATGGAAGCAAGAGATATTTTACAGAGCGTTAACACTGACTCTCTTCATATCCATCCTAAAGCTTGAGGAAGCGCGTTCCACCAAAAGACGTTTTAACTGCTACCAGGTTAGAATCATGAACACTACAAGCCATTACTTAATGTAACTGTAAATCAAATGTACTTGGTTGTAAGGAACGGCAAAAATCCGGAAATATAAAAAAAAAAGACTGAATATCTGTGTATGGATACAGGTGCTGCCTCTCCATCAATTATCAAAAAATATATAAACTTACTAAACACAAAAAAGAGGTTAAGAACGAGCAATAAGGGCAACACTGCATCTGTAATGATGGGTTACGTATAAATTACAGCTACAGACTTCACAGCGGAAGTCAGGTTGTAAGTGTAAGAACATGTTCGTGGCCCAACACTTATCCCACGTGTTCAGGCGCCACACTTGTGTATCTGTAAAAACCTGCCGACAACATTACTCAAAACCTATGGCTAATTTAAAAAAATACCCTACTGTTATAACTACTATTCAAACGCTGAACTATCGTAAGGGCAAAAACGAATCCAAAAATAAAAGTTAGCTTCTGATCAGCGTGTTTTCAGACCGCTGAATAACAGTATTACGTGTCTATGTCATATATCAGATACAAAACTTATGAAATTCTACATGTGCAACTTACTAATATAAAGAAACCAGCAGAAGAAAAAACAAACCAATACAATAATCAAAACTACGGACAGACAAACCAAAACCGCCTATCCGCCGATATTCACACGCTTACCAAATGTGATTTTAATCACCTGCTTTCATGGCCTTCAAGGCTACCACCCGTAGACCAAACAACAGGTATTCTGTGACGTCTGTGACCACGACCGCTGAGGGGCGAATGGTTCCAAGGGCACTACGATTAGTACTCACATGGTAAGGGTACATTGAATGTTACAAAAAATAGTACGAAAATTGTTACTGAAAATTAATTTGAAAATACTTTTTTTCCACAGTATATAAAAGATAGGCATTTTGAACAAGCCCTAACACATTTATCAACCTCATTCATCCATGCTACTTATCTGACCATTGTCTGCCTTCTCCCGCCAAGAATCAGGGTAAACAATCAGTTGTAAAAAGGACCGTCCCCGGGCAAAATCCCGTTAAAGAGTTCGCAATCTGGTGATTGTCTCCAGATCGGGTGTTTAATAAGATATCTGGTGCCAAATTTTTTATTTTAAAAGTTTTTGAAATTATGGTGATTTTCATGAAAATGGTGATAAAACTGGTGTCTCAGGTCAGCAAGAGCTTACTGAACATTGGTTGGATGAAAGAGAAATACATTATTATAACTCTGAAAACTATTCCTTGATATCAAAATTCTGTAGGAAAAATAAATTGCGTGGAGGGTCCATGCCTTTATGTTAAAACAAATCTAGATGCAAAACCTGTAACCTGTTTGAAAGCGTAAATCAAGAAGAACACTTTGAGGCCAGCATAATTGAACTTATACAATTTAATACTATCATAATCTGTATATATAGAACCCCTAAGAGCAATATCAACATATTTATAAAAAACTTGGACACAATACTTAGCAATCTGACCAATAAAGGAAAGAACATTATTATAGCTGGAGATCTCAGTGTAGATTTTCTAAAATTAAGTGTTAATCCACAACTACAGACAAAGCTAGACTCATATGGCTTGCAGGCAAAAGTTGATGTCCCAACAAGAATAGGACCTAAAAGCCAAACAGCCATAGACCAAATAATACTAAACAAGGGCTTATGGGAATACAACTTTCAAGTGGTGGAAACAGAGCTCTCTGACCATAATGCCCAAGTACTACAAGTACAAATGCGTTATAAGAACAAAAAGGGCAAGGTAGAATAACTGAAGAGTTCAGATTAGCTAGATCTTATAGTGAGGAAAATGTACAATATCTAAACTATTTACTAGGAAAAGAGACCTGGGAGCCTGTTCTTAAACAAAATGAGGCAAATCATGCATACAATGAATTTTTAGGCATCCTTCAGTACTATCACAAAATAGCTATGCCTAAAAAATGGGTAAAAATTAAGCAGCAAAAAAAATGGATTACATTAGGCATAAGGGTATCAGGAAACAGACTTAGGACTCTTCGTAGCTTAATTAAAGAAGGAAAGACATCTGAAGAACTTAAAAAATACTATAACCCGTACAAAAAGATATACAACAAAATTATCGGTGAGGCTAAAAACTAAGCAACAACTTGCGAATATGATCATCCGGGAACAAATCAAAAGCCATGTGGAGTTTAATCAAAGAAGAATTAGGCAGTCAGCGAAAAGTTCCAAAGAACATTGAAGTAGGAGTGAATGGAACAACTATACAAGATCCAAAAGTTATAGCCATTGTTTTTAATGAATACTATACTAACATTGCCCAGCACATCGGAGTAACAATCAGACAGAACATAACAATAAAGGCAGGATCAACACAATAAAATACAACAGCAATAGCATGTTCTTAACCCCAACCACTGAAAGGGAGGTGGTAGACATAATTAAAACACTGGGTAACAAAAAATCAATGGGCACTGACGATATTCCAGAGTTCATTATTAAAAAATGTCATCCTCAGCTAGTAAATGCTCTAACATACATCATAAATCTGTCATTTTCATCTGGTTATTTCCCCGACCAACTAAACATAGCAAAAGTGAAACCCTTGTATAAGAAAGGTTGTACTGCAGATGTTGGGAACTACAGGCCAGTGTCATTAATTCAGGTTTTTTGTAAAACAATCAAAATAATTATGCACAATAGACTTTTATCATTCATAAAGAAGTACAGCATAATCAACAATAAACAGCATGGATTCTGCAAAGGAAAATCAACACACACAGCAATCACAAAATTTACAAAAAGGGTTTACAAAGCACTAGATGCAAAAGAAACGAGTATAGGGATATTTTTGGATTTATCAAAAACGTTTGACCTAGTAGATCCATGATATATTGCTAAGTAAGATGGAAAGAATGGGAATATGAGGGGTGACACTAAGGTGGTTCCAAACATACTTAGAAAACAGAGAACAAGCAGTAGAAATTACATACAGATGCAAAAAAAACTAACCGTAACATTAATTACCTATCTCGAAAGAGACCTATCAGCTATGGTGTCCCACAAAGTTCCGTTCTGGGACCAGTGTTGTTTCTGTTATACATAAACGACCTGGAGGCCAGCATAGAACATGGGAAAGCTGCGTTCTTTGCCGATGATATTAGCATTTTTATAGCAGGAAATAGCGTTAACGAAATTCAAAGGAAAACAAATGAAACAACAAAAAAATCACAGAGTGGTTTGAGAGGAATTGATTAACTATTAATAAAGAGAAAACAATAGCAATAGCCTTCCATCATCCTCAAAAACTACAACTTGAATGCCCTCCAATAAAGATTTATGACACAGTTATCAGCTACACAGATCACTCAAAATTTCTGGGAGCCTGGCTAGATAAGCATCTAAGATGGATTATCATACGCAAAAGCTAGCGAACAACTTATGTAAAGTATGTTTTGGCCTAAGGGTAGTTAGAAGAGTAACTGGACTAGAGACTGTCCGCACGTTACATTATGCTCATTTCCAATCTTTGTTATTATACGGACTGATATTTTGCGGAAACTCGTTAAATGCAAAATTGATCTTTAAATTACAGAAGAGAGCTATAAGAGCTATGACCCAGGTCCCAAAAACGACTAATTGTAAACAGTTTTTAAAATCATTACATATATTACCTCTACCATCTTTGTACATATACAAAACTCTAATATACATAAAATCCAATTCGAACGATTTCACAACCAACTCAGGATTACACTCATACAACACAAGGAAAAAAGACAACTTGCATATCGTCCCATGTAATACAAGTCTATGCAAGAACAACTTTAACAATGTAGGATTTTGACTGCTAAATAATCTGCCACGATATATTAAAGAAATACCGGTACTATATAAGTTCAAAAACGCTTTGAAAACGTACCTACTTGATCATTGTTTTTATAAAGTGGATGAGTTTCTCTTGTGTGAGACAAACACTAATCAATTATAATCACATAATTCATGAATAATCGGTTTTGGGAATCCCTATTGCACAGTTTTCCTTTCTTTCTTCCAGCAACAAAGATAACACAGACAGAGATATACCTGAATGGGCTACTCTGGAGAGATTGCAGATGCCAAGAAGCTGCACCAGGAAGGGAGAACAGATGTAATGAGATGTTGCAGTGTAGAGTCTACAGTGAAACGTTATACCAGTGCTATCACCAAATTCACCAATATTATCTCAAAGGCCACGCCATAGCTTAAGCGGTTAGTCACTGGCTTCCCACTGCTGCGGCCTAGTCAAGTGGGATTTGTCATGGACAAAGTGGCGCTGGGGCAGGTTTTCCCCAAGTACTTTGGTTTCCCCTGCCCATCATCATTCCATCAAATTCTCCATAAGCATTATCACCAGTACAGGTACAATAGGACATATGGAAGCCGATGTGCCGAGGGGACCTAATATGGATTCCACCTCACACTGTATGAAATCTTAACTATTGTAATCTACTGTAAACAATTTTGAGTATTGTAACTTTATTCTCTTATTGTAATCAGCCAATGTACAGTAACTGACTTGTCCTGTATCATGTAACACTGATTATAGAGACGAAATAAATAAATAAATAAACAAAAAAAGATGGTCATTCAGTTCTGGGTGTCAACAAGAAATGCCACCCAAAACTGTAACGAAACAATGCAGTGGAATGGAAGACAGGCTTTCTATTGCAGAATATTGTTCATTAAAAGTTACTGATCATTTTTCTGAGTTATGTAAGCCATGTTTCCCCTATAATATGGGAACTTTTAATCTTAAATTGCATTGAATGAAATGTACTGCAAATGCGCATAATATTTGGGGACCACATTTTGAAAAACAAATCTTAGAAGATTTCGGTAGTAGGGAGTACAGCTTGCTCATAGATGAAGGCAGTAATATTTCTGTAACAAAACTTACGGGTACTGTTATTAGATATTATTCACGGAGTAGAAAGTGCATAGTAGTTACATATTTGGATTTGATGGAGCCCACAAGCTGTACAGGTGATAGTATTTGCAAAGTGTTAAAGAGTTGTGTTATGAGGAAAGAGCTCAATTTCTAGAAATGTTTAGCTATTGTAACTGATAAAGCTTCAGTCATGATTGGGGTAAACAGTGGGGTATACACGAAAGTTAAAACCAATTTATCACACTTGCAGTTAGGAAGGTGTGTTCGTCACTATTTTCAGTTGATGGTATTGTATGTAGCTGCCGAATGTTTTCCAAGAAATTTGGAACTTCTAACTAGATTTAGTGGGAGGACAGGAGGTCAGATGGGACAGAGGTGGCACCAAACCAGCAGGTGAATATACAGTTTTCAATGGAAAGGGGAATGAAAATCATGAATTAGGTACAGGCCTTTTCAAACATAAGAGAACTGTATCAGCAGTTAAGAGGGTAGAGTTCATTAGTGATAGGATTTCATACATAATACCAAGAAGTCTCTGGTGTGATATCGTTGTTCTGAATGTTCATATCCAAAGAGAAGATGAAATTGATATAAAGGACAGGTTCTGTGAAGGAATTCAACATGTATTAGAGAAATTCCCGAAGTGCCACATGAAAATTTTGTTATGAGATTTCAATGCCAAAGTAGGGAGTGAAAATATTTTCAAATCAGTGATGTGGAAATGAGAGTTTGCTCAAAATTAGTAATGATAATGGTGTTAC